CAGAAACCCAACGCAGCAAAGTAATTCTGCTAACCTGATGGGAAATGTAGCTGCCGTGGATTCACAGTGACGCCCGTGGCGTCATCCGACAGCATTATATATACGAAACTCCACGATGCCACCCTACTTCGTTTCTAACATCGGGCGGGGTGTAGGTTTAATTAGATTTAATTAGTATTATGGGGTTGTCCCCGTGTAGTGGCGGGTAAGAATACTCACTACCCCATATCTTCCCGTGGTTGTCGTAAAAGGCGACAGAGGGAAACTGAGGCATAGGATGGGCAGCAGCATCTTTCTGATAACAGCAAAACAACAATAAAAAAACTGCGGTTGCCAACCCGCTCGCCAAGCGTGGCAACTATGGCAATAGACCCCCCATGAAAGTAACGAAGAGGCAGCCCCCAGTCCCCGGCGGCCCCGCTGTTCCTGGCTACGATGGTGACCATAGTAACGGCGGGGCAGGGGGATGCTAAGAATCTCCGGGGGAGGTTCGGTTGCCACCTACGACGACTCAACCTGGCAACTTATAACGCACGCACCCTGAGGACTGACGAGAAGATCCTGGAGCTGGAAGAAGAGATAGACAAGTTGCGCTGAATTACATAGGATTATCCGAAGTCCGAAGAGAGGGAGAGGCCACGGTAATCCTCGAATCCGGCAATTTGTTCTATCACCGGGAAGGCGACCATCTGTCCCAAGGAGGTGTCGTATGTATCGTCCACAAGTCTCTCGTTAACAACATTGTAAAGATTGGGAATGTGACGACGAGCGTTGCGTACCTCAGAATATACTCAGAATCACCAAACGGTATTCGCTGAAGGTCATACAGGTTTACGCACCAACCTCGGCACACCCCGATGAGGAGGTGGAGGAAATGTATGAGGATATCTCTAGAGCCACGCATTCCTCCAAAATCCACTAAACGGTGTTAATGGATGACTTAAACGCAAAACTAGGCGCAAGAGAGAACGGTGAGCTGAAAGTAGGGAATTTCGGAATAGGGCAACGGAACTCAAGGGGCCAGCAGCTGGCCGACCTCATGGAGAAAGAGGGACTCTTTATGATGAAGTCTTTCTTCTAGAAGCGGCCCCAAAGGAAGTGGACCTGGTCGAGCCCCGACGGTTCCACAAAAAATGAGATTGACTTCATTATGACGACCAGACGACAACTGTTCAGTGATGTCTCGAGGGTGAAAACCGGCAGCGATCATCGAATGGTGAGAGGCACACTGAACCTAAACGTTAAGTTGGAGAGGTCTCGTCTAATGAAGTCAACGCTCCGTCCCCCTCGTGCTCTGTTCTAAAGTCCCGAAACCTTTCAGCTCGAGGTACAAAACCGTTTTCAGTGCCTAGAATGCAGTGGAAGATATTAATGACAAGCTCGTGGAAACTGTCCATGCGGTCGGAGCTAAGTTTTGCAAGAACCGCCGCGGAAGAACACAAAAACTCTCTGATCACACTCTTAATCTCATGGCTGTTAGACGGGATATGAAGCTGCAGTCTTCAGTAGATTTGACAGCATACAGGCAACTGAACAGACAGATCTCCAAATGCATGCGGCTGGACTGACGCAACTTTAATACTGCTGGTATTAAAGAAGCGATCGAGCGAAACCAGGGCTCCAAAGTCTTTGCTAGAGATCTGTCTGCCAGAAAGAGCCAACTGTCGAAGCTGAAGACCGAGTGTGGCAGCGTCGCTTCCGGGGCACCTGAGATTTTGAGTGAGATTGAGAGGTTCTATGGGCAGCTGTACACATCATCGTTGGAGCCACACGTAAGTGTAAGTAACGATCAAAGAGCAAGTCTTATCCGACACTATTCCGATGATATCCGGGTGTCGGTCTGAGCGAGATAAGAATGACTCACCAGAACTTTAAAAACGGGAAGACTCCAGCGAGGATGGAATTACAGCGGAGTTTCTGAAAGAGGGTAGAAAACTGGTACTTGAAGTCCTTCAGAAGCTCTTTAATTCCGTCCTCCATGGAGGGACTACTCCGGAGGCGTGGAGCAGAAGTGCGGTGGTCTTGTTCTTCAAGAAAGGTGACAACGCTCTCTTGAAGAACTACAGACCGATTTCCCTTCTGAGCCGCGTCTACGTGCTGTTTTCGAGAGTCATTACGAATCGTCTCGCGCGTAGACTTGACGACTTCCAGCCTCCCGAACAAGCCGGTTTCCGAAAGGGCTTTAGCACCATAGACCACATACATACCCTTCGGCAAATTGTACAGAAGTCGGAAGAGTACAATTTGCCACTATGTCTGGCGTATGTGGACTATGAGAAAGCCTTTGATTCCGTCGAAATTTGGGCGGTGCTGCAGTCCCTTCAGCGGTGCCAAGTTGACTGTCGGTATATCGAAGTGTTGAAGTGCTTGTACAGTAGGGCTACGATGGCTATCCGAGTACAGAACCAATGTACGAAACCTATCCAATTGCAGAGAGGTGTAAGACACGGTGACGTTATTTCCCCGAAACTCTTCAGCGCTGCATTGGTAGACGTTTCAAGGTTCTGGACTGAAAATGATACGGTATTAACATCAATGGCGAGTACATCACTCATCTTCGATTTACCGACGATAAAGTCCTTATGGCAGAATCGCTGGAGGACCTAAACACTATGCTCAATGACCTCAATAGTGTTACCCAACGGATAGGTCTTAAGATGAACATGGACAAAACAAAGATCATGTTTAATGTCCATGTCACACCTATGCCGGTAGTTGTTGGGAACACTAAGCTCGAAGTTGTTGACGAGTTTGTTTACCTGGGACAAATAGTCCGACTAGGTAAGTCCAACTTCGACCGAGAGGTCAATCGACGGATTCAAATCGGTTGGGCAGCGTTCGGGAAATTACGGCACATGTTCTCGTCAGGTATACCTCAAAACTTGAAAACGAGACTGTACACCCAGTGCGTGTTGCCAGTGATGACATACAGAACTGAGACGTGGTCCTTCACTGCTGGCCGGATAAGAAAGCTCAAGGTCGCTCAGCGAGCTATGGAGAGGGGTATGCTCGGAGTTTCTCTGCATGATAAACTTAGAAATGAGGATATCCGCAGTAGAACCAGAGTGACCGACATAGCCCAACGGATTAGTAAGCTGAAGTGGCAATGGGTCGGCTATATAGCTCGAAGAACCGACAACCGATGGGGAAAAAAGGTTCTCGAGTGGCAGCCTCGTACCGGCAGGCGAAGTGTAGGGTCTTCTCCTACTAGATGGAGTGACGACCTGGTAAGATATGGAGGAAATTGATGGATGCAGGTGGCTCAGGATCGTGCTTTGTGGCATTCCTTGGGGGAGACCTATGTTCAGCAGTGGACTTGTGAAGGGCTGTAATGATGAATGATGATGGGGTTGTTATAAAGTAATTTGCTTAATTCCGCGTAAAGAAAGAAAATGATGTGTCCTGCCCAGTTTTATGAGGACTTGCCATCCTCTCTCAATAATAAACTGCACACATGTTTTTATTTATGCTTCGAAGTTCAAACATTTATTTAATAATTCAAACTGTCTTTGTGGTCGCTCCGCGGCGGGAACGACGCAAATCAGTAAATGGCTTTAGTAATAAAAATACAAAAACAGAGTTTTGTTAAAAATATGTCAAAATTGATTACGAATTCGATTCTTTAAAATAAATATGGAATAATATCACAATAAAATTATATCAAGACTAGTTCGCCAGGCTGACATTGTTCTGCCATTTCCGACGACATTTTCTCTAAAAATCCTTAAATTCGCAATAAAAATTTTTGAGGGTCATTTATCGGGATAAAAATTATACTATCTTTCAAGTTGGGCCAAAATGCACACAGTGTGCAAAATTTCATTGAAACCAGTTCAGTAGTTTAGGAGTTCATCGCGGACAAACAACGTGACACGTAATTTTTATATATAAAGATAAAAATATCCATGTTATATATAAGTTTATGAGCAAATATCGATTTACCGATATTTTCCAAGTCCAGTATGTGATGTCCTGTGGTAGCAGTGTTGTCAACTCGAATTTTTCCAAATTCGTAGATTGGTACATAAAATGCGTAGAATTCCGTAGATGCTATTTCAAAATATCCGTAGATGTGCAAATTTAGATTTATTTTATAAGCGTTTATATTAACTGCTTATTTTCCAAGAAGTGTTCAAAATTCGAAATAAACGTAATTAAATGCAAATATCTAAGCTATTAAAATTTAAAATCGATTAACCTCACTAAAAATTAGATTTATATAAGCAAAAATGTTTTTTTTTTTAATACGGACAGCATAGAAAAAAACAGAGAGAGAATGACATTGTTCACAATTATGATAAAAATGTTTTTCTTGTTAAGTTTTTAAAAATTCCGTAGATTTCAACTTCAAATTCCATAGTTGCGTAGATGAAAGAATTCCGTTGATCTAAAAAAAAAAAACGTAAAGTTGGCAACGCTATGGTGGTGTGGTGTCAATTTCAGAAATAATAATATATTCGGTTGTTAGAATCCTTTAGGTCGTCTGTGGATTATAATATATTTTATATCTTTGTTTTGAGTTTTGGCGGGAGCTTGACCGGCGGCGGTTTGCTGCTCCTGTATTATCGTTTAAATTGTGGTTCGAAGTGGATTTTGATATGTAAAAGTGGTGCGCTTTTGTGTATTAAGTGTCTGCGTATGTGAACTATTAGTGGAAACAGTGAAACAAATGCTCTGATGGTGATGTGATTCTCAAGATAAAGTGTCTGGTTGCTTAGGCGCTTTGAGATACCATCGACAACTATCAGCTGTCTGCTGGCTCAAGTTGCCGTCAAAATCTCTTACGGGCTACACAATGTGACGCATCAACATATTGTGAAGCATTATACTATGAAGGATAATTATACATTGTAACTTAAGGCTCAGAAAAGCTAGAACCCAGAGCCGTAAAGCCAGTTATAAGAAAAGAAAACAAAGTATCTATGTTTTATTTTTTATACACATATCTATTCAATTGTCAGTAATATAATGTACTCTGTGTATCGATTTATCTATGGTGTACATTATATTCTGTGATTTTAATAATTAATATTGCTATCTGAATAAATCTTATCTTCTAAGTAGAAATTAGATTTTGTTATCAATTGAGGTTAGTAATGAAATACTTATTATTTTATCCAATGAACAGTTTACTAATTCTATCTATTATACAGATATTTATGTTTTCTATTAAACCGCATAGGTTGTTGCTGAGATTTAGAATGTTCTTTGGTATGAAGTCTAATGGTAGCGATAGGGCTTTTTTGTGTTTAGGAGTCTGCAGGGTAAGAAGTATCTACTTGGACGTATATCTGCTGTCATGCAGCAGTGTATCCCCTATTGTATTCTGATTAAATATTAAGCATAGATACAGTTTAGTATGAGACATTCCATGTCAGTTCTAGACACAACCTAGTCGTAATGATACAGGTCTACATACGGCAGCTCGCCTAGCTTCTATGAGCTCGATTGCCCTTACCTATAGGTTTCTTCGTTTGAAATTGATATAATTGTAGGTGTTCATGAGCGCAGACATTTTGCTATCAGAAGGACTGTAGCCTTGTTTACTACTACAAGTCTACAGTAAATTATTGAATATACCTCGCCCAAACTTTTCATTTTCTTTTATTTATGTATTTATACAACAAAAAGTTTTATTAAAAATAGGGATGTACATTCTGTAAATACTAGGAACAAGCACAAGTTAGTTATATTAGTTACTTGTATACAATTTTACAATAAAGTCCCAGAAAATGTGCAGACCTTATCTATTAAAATGTTTAAAATATTTATTAAGGCGACACATCGAAAACCGTTGAAGCGGGCTATCGCCGGACTAACCAGAGTGAAACATCATTTCTATAAAAACTTCAAAAACGCCGTCATAAGGTCTAAAATTGCGTAGCGCCCATGACGACTAAGAGCGCTTAGAAATTGCTTAGAATCTTAAAATATTTAAAAAAAATATTGATTAAAGTAATCAAAATAATGAGCAAGTAAATTATGAATATTGATGTTATGAATGTATGTGAGTGGTTCCCCAGCACATAGATTAAGTAATTTCATTGTAATTTCAACTATAGTGATTTTTTAGAGGTGTTTTCGCAAACAATTATGATCGAGTCAAAATTTTACAATCGTGTTTTTGAGCAAGCAAATTTAAGATAAAGAGATGAATTTACCTATATCAAAATTCCAGTTTCGTTAGTCGTGTCATACTCCTATACTATGCGATGAAAGGAGGTGCATTTTTTTGCGGTGTCGCCTTAAGCAAAAATTGTTTAGTAAGGGCTTATTTATATACTACTAATATATAAATAAGCCATAAAACAATTGTATAAATACTATATTGTAAATTATGCTTTAAAAAAGTCCCATTGGGTTTCTTGCTATTTCTTCCCAGACAGAGGTTTTTTCAAATCAGTGGTAAAAGTAAAAAATGACTATAAGAATTACATCTATCTTGAAAAAATAAAAACTCAAAAGAAATCTATATTGAATTAAAATGATTCTATTCTATTCATGGGTCGGGGGGGGGGGGGGGATTAATGTCCTCACCAGATAGTGAGAAGATTTAAAATTATTAATTTATTCAATTGATCATTGCCTTTCTTTTGATAATTTATTTTCATACGTGGTAGAGCCATGCTGCAGCTATAGTAGTAGTATAGTTGTAGCACGAATGGGTCGGCTCGACCGGGGAAGGACCACGCTTTCACAGAATACCAGCGTAAAATAGCAGCTTAACACTGCTGTGTTTTGTATGGTGAATGTAGAGAACCGGAGACCCTTTTTACTGGAAAAGAGGCATTCCATCTTAGTCCTCACGGATGACAATGCATCTGCATTTTGATTTGCAAACGAGGATAAATGTAGATGTCTATGGGCCACAGCAACTACTTACCATCAGGTGAACTGTGTGCTCGTTTGTCACCCGATCCTATAAAAAAAAAATAACTTAAAATAATTATCATGATTAAAGATTAGAGAAAATTGATCTGCTGAGATCTGCATGAAAAAAAAATATTACCTAGCTCTTCGATGATTGATGAACCCTTCTCTCCTATGATCGTATGCACTATCACTATCTCCACTATATCCAATACCTCATTAATAATCTTTTTTTCTTCTTTTAATTTATCAACCTGTAAAAGTCCAATGTTGGACATATGCCTCTCTCATAATTGGGTGGATTTTCCTTAATCATCATACATGGCTGGTGGATTGCCAATTGCAATACCAGCCGTATCCCACCTTTCATGCTGTTCCTTTATTGATTCTATATTATCTAATATTCTAGTTATATGGCCTGTACTATGCCACTTTAGAATTCTTAGGGATATGTTGGTTACTCTGGTTCTACTGCGGATATCCATCACGCAGAGAAAAGAGATATGTTGTTAGCTCATGAAATTACGGAATAGAGTGTTTCAAACAATGACGGCACACATTCACACACATTTCGTTCATATTACATTTCACTACATTGCCGAATGATATAAAAAGGATGGAATGATTGAAATAATAGGACAGTATATATTTGTTACTTAGGTGTATGTGTATACTAACCTTACTCAGGTCACCAACCACCACATCTATGTCCGAAGTGCAACTGTATGTATCACCCTCGTGTTAGTTTTATTTTCCATCTCTTTCTCTTTTCAAATCTCCAGAAATGAATATTTTAGAAAAATATACCACTTAATTGAAGCATATTGCATACTTACATGTGATATGAGATTCCTTGTGTTTTGTTCACTTTAGAATCATAATTGGTACACCTTTTAAATACACATGATGACATTCTTATTAACCGACTTCAAAAATGAGGAGGTACTCAATTTGACTGTATTTTTTTATTTGAAAGCTAGTGCTTCTTCTTGATGAAGGTTGATTAGTAGTTTTTGAGTTATTCTTATTAATTTATATTGAAGTCGGATGTACAATTTTTTTTTAATTTTACCACTTGTTATTATTAAAATTTTCTATACAGCGCCTTTTTCGTCGTCTTACGCGACGCGGACTAGACAAAACGTCCCAATTGAGATGTTTTCGAGTCTAACATATCGAATTAACAATTCAAAGTGTGCTAACATGTCTGCTTCTTTTTGTATATAATATAATTATTATAATGTTATTTATGGGTAACCACTAATCTTTCTAGCATATCCCATAAGTGCTTCTTATGTTACCCACTGGATGAAATGAGATATGTGATGGATATTCTTAATCTACTATCAAGCCGCAGATCAGGATAGTAACAAGTGCTATCACAGGACATGGCACCTTTAACAAACATTTATTTACCATAGGTGTTACAGATAGTGCCCTGCGCAGGAAATGTATGGGGGTGGAGGAAACGGCGGCCCACATGTTGCTGACATGTCCGTAGGTGGCTGCATACAGGGCTAAACATCTCAGCATGCCGAGATCACTCCCCGAAGTTGCTCGCAACATGAAAGGACGGTTGAACTTCTTCGGGGAGATCTCATGGCTTGAATAATTACATTATTCCTACTCACACGCCAAATACGCGCTTAGACGCGGAGATGCGGAAAACAGACTGTCATAAACTAAACTAAGCCACCATCACATGGTTAGCCAACAGGCTAACCATGTGATGGTGGCTTAGATATATAACCTTTTATTCATGGAGAAATATGTAAGCATAATATCCATGGGGTAAAGGCAAGTTATTACGGACTTTCACTGATAAAACCCCACCTGGCTTAGCCCTGCTGATATGTGTTGAAGGTTTGACACAGTGGTAACTTTCAGTTGGGCTAGGGGAACAATGTCTTTACATCTGCATCTTACTTGGTGGTCTGTTTTTGGGCGAGGACAACTTCTCCCCCACATTTCATGGCACGCCTTCCTACATGATCTTCATCACCATCTTAGTAGCAGACCACCATGCATATTTCATGGAAATCATTAAAAAAAAATTAATAACTATTCTTAATTATAACTTGTACTTATGCTGGATAGTGAAAGAGAACAAATTTGTATCACTCTCAGATGTTGGGGATCAACAGTGTTTTAATAGTTGATCTTTAAATTTTATTCTTTTCAGACAGCATGTCGGAATCAGTAGTAGCTTCAGGAGCATCGGTGGCTAGTGCTGATGAGCAGCGCTCAGGAGGTACAGTAGGTTCTAGTAAATTGATATTATTGTCGTCATTCGTCAGAAATAATGATGTACTGATGTAGACTGTAATGGAATCTTATAAAAATATTTTTCACGGTGATGTAATAATTGGTATTATTATATATCTCTGCTGTCAAGCAATAGTGCACCCATTGATGTATTCTTGTTTAAAAATAATTTTTATAGTATATGAGTGATGAACCAGTACACAGTCCACCTGATGGTAAGTGGATGCTGTGGCCCATAGACATCTATATTTATCCTTGATTAAGAATTAAAATGCAGATACGTTGTCACCCCTGAGGACTAAGATGGAATGCCTCTTTTCCGGTAAAAAGGGTCTCCGATCTTCTACACTCTCTCTGCCATCTGCTGTATGCGTGTTTCCTTCCGAGGAGTTGCCAACTAAAGTGAAAATGATTCCCACCGGAAGATCTTTATGCTATAAGTAATGTACTCACTGTTAGGAAGCTGTACATCTTATATTCTGTTCTAAGACTGCAAAAAAAGGTATAAAGTTTGACGGTTGTATTGTAGCCAAAAGAAGGAAAAACGTAGCAGCTACAGCTGTCAAAGTTAAAACTGCTTTAACTAGGAGGCAGTATGTAAAACAGTCTGCGACTCTATACAACGCCATTAATACTAGGGCGACACTGATAGTTTTTAGAACTGGTCACTTGTATACGATATAATAAAAAAATAAGTTTTTTGAAAATGGAACTCTGCCACTATTATTGTGTATGTATTTTATTAATTTGTCATTGTTTGCTCTTAAATTGAAAATTGCCTGTGTCACGTCAGCGTGAATTTAACGCGAGAAATTTTTCGTACAATGATTTTTTAACGGTCAGGAAGCTTTGTACCCGGTGGATAACTCATAATATGACAGAGGCCCAAAAATTCCGTCGTGTTGATTGGTGTCGTGAAATGGTTGAAAGATTTAATGGAGGTGACTCAAATGCTGTGTTCGACATACTTACGGGTGACGAAATCTGGATTTATTGTTATGATCCTGAAACTAAGAGACAGTCTGCTGTCTGGGTGTTTCCTTCCGAGGAGTTGCCAACTAAAGTGAAGAGAGGTCGAAGCGTGGGAAAAAAGATGTTGGCCTCGTTCTTCGGAAGGGCAGGTCATTACGCAACAATTGTTTTAGAGGATCGAAAAATAGTTACTGTAGAGTGGTACACTAACAATTGTTTGCCACTTGTCTTGGAAAATGTTCGGGAGAAACGACCTCGCAGTAGGATCCTCCTTCACCAAGACAACGCCTCGTCGCACACCGCCAAGCAAACAATCGAATTACTGGGTCACCCGCCCTATAGCCCCGACCTCGCACCTTGCGATGTATATTTATTTCCAAAACTAAAACAAAAACTTCGAGGAAAACGTTTTATGGGTGTCGAGGAAGCAGTGGCTGCGTTTCAAAATGCCGTTGAAGATACCCCTAAGGGCGAGTGGGCAAAGTGCTTTTCTTAGTGGTTCCATCGGATGCAGCGATGTATTGATGTAAATGGACACTATTTTGAAAAAATATAATAAAAGTAATAACTTGCTAGTTTGTTCAGTTTTAGATTTTCTAAGAACTTTCAGTGTCACCCTCGTAAAAACATAAATATTTACCACCTTAATTACCGAAATTGCAAATATGCTCTAACCAAATGGCTAATGCATAAGAGCTATGATGATGAGGCTCTTTTAAGCATCATCAACTAATGTAATTTATTTGCAACACACACGCAACGCACACACGCACACGCACGCACGCAAGACGTATACGTGCACATATACGGCGTGCAAACACCCTTGGCGTGAATGTTATTAGTTTTATTGTCTTTGTCTAAACCTATATCCAAATTAATGATTAAGCGATAGTGGTAGGTTGAATGCAGATACATGTAGACAATCAACACCAACAATATGTGTTTTCAGACACATGTTAGCTCATGCTCAGCAACTGCAACTTGAACCCAGCACCTGCTGCTTGAGGGCTATTACCATTACTCTATGCTTGTTCATTCTCATAGCTTGTAAATCTCTCTCGACGAAGCAGAGAATACTGTCAGCACACAACATACAACGCATTGAAAAATTACAAACCTTGCACTAAGTACAGATTCACCAACAGAACCAACGCAAGCATACCCTGATTATTTTATTAATGAAGTTATTAGAAGACAGTCCAATTGATGGATATAATGATAGTAATGTTACAAATGCATTGTCAACTCAATTATCGATTAAGATTGGATGCCTCACTGACAGAATTATACTGGCTCTCCATCCTCTTTCAGCATGAATACAGTAGTGGTTGTTTGGATTTAGAAATACGTAAGAGAGTGTTAAAAACTCTCACTGAATCATGAAAAAAATAGTAGCTCTACCACCTAATAGACATGGGCGTTATCACTTTTTATGATAACCGTTACATAACCGATTTAAAGTTTTCATATCGATATCAAAAACCGTTATCAGATATCAATATAAAATACAATTTAGTTGTTTTAGTTGTAACACCAATTCCGCAGTTATAGTTGCCACCGATCTACTAAAATTCAATATTTCAAAAAAATTTTTTTTAAGAAAACACGAATTTTTATTTACCCTAAATGATAAACACTTGACATTATGCATTATGTTAAAATAAAGTTTAATTAAAAAAAATAAAGTTTTGGCGTTCGCATTTAGATTGGCAGCCACAAATAACGATAACACACTTGATATTCTCTTTACCTCGTTTTCACACATCTGGCAGGGTCATCAGTTAGACAGAGAGGCGGCGAATATTTAGTACTAGCTGTTCCTCGCGACTTCGCTTGCGTGTAATTTAGGGTTTTAATTTTGTTGCGCAGAACCCAAATGATTTTTCAAAAATATAAGTAGCTTAAGTTACTCCTTATAACATGAGCTCTCTACCAGTGAAAATCCCATCAAAATCGGTCCAACCGTTTCGGAGATTAGCCGGAACAAACAGACAGACAGACAAAAATTTTAAAAATTGTGTTTCTGTTATAGGTACCGTATATACTTTTATATGCAATTAGTAAAAAGCTGTTATTTTGACATTACAAACACTTCAATTTTATTTATTTGTATAGATTGTGATAGTTACGTTGTTTGGTCGCGGAACGGAATGGATATGGTTTTACGTTATGAGAAGTTAAGTTAGCTAGCTGTGTTGTGTTTGGATTTACTTCGATTCAGCGTTATCGTAAAAACCGTTATCTTTTTTTTATAGGATAGGGTGACAAGCGAGCACACAGTCGACCTGATGGTGTGTGGTTGTGTGACCCAAAGACATCTACATCTATCCTACATAAAGAATTAAAATGCAGATGCGTTGTCACCCGTGAGGACTAAGATGGAATGCGTCTTTTCCAGTAAAAATAGTCTCTTGTTCTCTACACTCACCATACGAAACACAGCAGTGTTAAGCTGCTATTTTACGCTGGTATTCTGTGAGAGCGTGGTCCTCCTCCGGTCCTTCCCCGGTCGAGCTGACTCATTCGTGCTCCAACTATACCACGAATATCGATGCATAATGTTTTGTTGTGTCATCGTTTTTAGTTACGTTTTGATATATCGTACTCATACCTACCACCTACTCCTAATTAAGTAATGTTGAGTACAACTACTTTTTTATTTTTCAGCGGGCTCCGATGAGAAGGTATACGGCGGCTGTGAGGGTCCGGACGCGATGTACGTAAAGCTTGTGTCATCCGACGGGCACGAGTTCATCGTGAAGCGAGAACATGCGTTAACATCCGGTACTATCAAGGCTATGCTCAGTGGACCCGGACAGTTCGCCGAGAACGAGGCCAATGAAGTGAACTTTAGAGAGATACCGTAAGTAATATATGGAAGATTAATGATTCAAAACCTTTTTTGCAATCATGTAGTTTCAAGAGGACTTCTATTAATGTCTTCAAATCCGAATTTTGGTCACGGCTGTCATTCTTAACGGAGATTAGTCATCTCCGCAGGACAGGGTTATAGTGCCCAAGTGTAACTTCATTATGGATTCTATCATGCAGAAAAATTCCAAGCATACTTCTCTCCATAGCTCGCTGAGCGACATTAAGCTTCCTCATATGGCCAGCAGTGAAGAATCACATCTCATTTCTATACCATGATGGATAGTGCCCACTGGTTGTGTGTTCTTGTTTACTCTGCTCAACTTAGGTAATAAAAATTATTTTATCATAAACATTCCTTAAACAGTTTTACTACTCAATGTACATGATAGGATATGATCATGTGCGTGGTAGAGCCATGCTGCAGCTATATTAGAAGTATAGTTGTAGAACGAATGGGTCGGCGCGGCCGGGGAAGGACCACGCACTCACAGAATACCAGCGTAAAATAGCAGCTTAACACTGCTGTGTTTCGTATGGTGAGTCTAGAGAACCGGAGACCCTTTTTACTGGAAAAGAGGCATTCCATCTTAGTCCTCACAGGTGACTTTTGATTCATAATCTTCTGCAGTTTGATTCTTTATTGAGGATAGATGTAGATGTCTATGGGTCACAGCAACCACTTACCATCAGGTGGGCTGTGTGCTCGTTTGTGACCCTATTGTATAAAAAATATAATACATGGGTTCTCCCATAGTATGTTGTGCATCTAGATGCACAACATACTATGGGAGAACCAGGTTTGTTTGTCGCTGTTTAATGAAGCGGGTTGATGATCAGTGTATCAGTTATCCGTGGGTATCTACTATACGGAATCCACAAGATGATTACACTAACATCTAAAACAGGCCACTAGATCTTATAGATATTTTCCCTAGTTGATATAGCATTTAGGGGAGACGCACTCATGGCCCTTGTGGCGCATAAGCAAACATTAACGCAGATAAAAATTTAGAAATATATTACCATATCTACACTGTACTGTGGTACCGTGTAGTGGCGGTGTAAGAATGTCAACTGCCTCATATTATCCCGTGGGTGTTGTAAGAGGCGACAAAGGAAAACAAATCAGGAGAAGAGCAGCAGAACGACTAAAAAAAACAGCGGAAGCCAACCCACTTGCCAAGCGTGGCAACTATGGCAAATTTCTCCCCTATGAGGCAATCTATGGTGGAGGCTATGTCCAGCAGTGGACTATAATATGCTGGAGCTATAATTACAACATCTATCTATCAGTTAAATTGTTAATTTTAATAATGTAAGTTTTATTTTATAAGTTAAGTGTAAAGTCACCAGCTTTGCGTAAATCGCGTTTGGAGCCTCACATCTGCTGTGTATAGTTTGTATGACGGTAAGAGGTGCAGGAAGTCAATGGATGCAGGTGGCTCAGGCCTGTGCTTTTTTTAGCATACCTTAGAGGAGGCCTATGTTCAGCAGTAGACTTGCAGAAGGCTGTAATGGTAATGATGAAGTGAGATACTCTGTGTGATAGAGCCACACTGCAGATATTTTATGATTGTAGCACAAATGGGTTGGCTCAACCTGGGAAAGACCATGCTCTCACAGAATACCAGCTTAAATAGCAGCTAAATTCTGCTGTGCTTCATATTCTGAATGTAGAGATCTGGGGACCCTTTTTACTGGAAACGCCTCTGCATTTTGATTCTTAATCGAGGATAAATCTTATCTATGCATTGCAACTTGACAACAACCTATTCATCCATTAGAGTCTATAAAAATTCATTGCCTCGTAGTGAGAATTTAAGTCATAGTTACTATGCATAGCAACTTACATTTGCCAATTTTTTTTTGATAATTTTCTGAAACAAGCTTAGTATACATTTAATAGACCTCTTTGTTTATTTACAGATCGCACGTTCTCCAGAAGGTGTGCATGTACTTCACATACAAAGTACGTTACACGAACTCCTCCACGGAAATACCAGAGTTTCCCATCGCACCAGAGATCGCGTTGGAACTACTTATGGCTGCCAACTTCCTCGACTGTTAACGCCCTGATTTCGAAACTATTATGCTATGTAAAAGTCGATTTCAACTCTAAAGCATTAAAAGTTTTATTTCCTATTTCATATTCTAACATGGTATTAATTGTATCCAACAAGTTATTGTAAACATTGTAGTTTTTATAGAAAGCATTCAGTTAACTATTTTTCATGTATTAATATTAACAGTGAATTTACATTATACTAATTGAAATGTATTATACATACCAGGCGGTTTGTGTCGTCGCGGATGGATGTTGATTATTCGAAGCGAAGCGACGATATCATTATATCTACCGTTAGATGTACATCATACATTATAATTTTTCTTTCGCCAAGCGGCAGAGAACACGCTGTTGTATTTTGGTTAGAAGTATAAAAAATTTAGTATAAACGCATGTTGAAATTTTTAAAAGGCAATTTGTCTTATTTACAAATACCTTAACTGGAATTATTTACTTGCTAGTGAATTGTATTAAATTATTTTTTCTAACTATTAGCTGTTCTAACATATGTTGCTAGTGAAATACCAAGAACAGTTTAAGAAATTGATTGTATGTTCGAGTATAATTAAAACGCTACACGCGTGATCCTAAATTATTATTAAAATGGTTTTTGTTACCTCATATTTCTATATGAGTTATAAAAATATATTATATACATTTTTAATTCAGAAATGGAATAAAACACTTTTTTATACTTTTAAGTTTTTGATAATCCCAAATTTTACATTATATACACAAGTTTAGTTACAGTCTTCTATGTAAAAGTTTTTGGTGGCCTTCATTTCAATTTGCGCGTTAGCCAACAGGCTAGTTTTATAGTTTTATATACCCTAAGTACAGCTTTTTAAGCCTTGTAAGCTTTATAAAAGGAGTGACTTATGATGGTGGTGATGATGATGATAATAATGACGAATCTGTGGCTGAACGTCATAAATCTGTTACGGTGTCCTTATACATGAATAGGTGTACAGATGAGTTATCTAATCGGAACAGGGATGTACGGACACTGGTTCTGACAGCTTCACTCGTGTCGGTCGATGTTCTGGGGCGGTGAGCACCGTCCAGGCACGTGAGTGTACTGTGTACGGGTATGGTGACATGTGCTTCAATACCGCCACACGTTCATAGCTATATAGACTTATTTGTAGTTTGCAAACAGTGACAGTGTCAACTATTGTCTATAATGAGGGTATCCGCAACTTTTTCAGAGCGGCGCTACTTTGGAATGAGGTGAAATATTTCATAGGTTTCTTTTTGAAATATGAGTTATATTTTTTATTAATAAGATTAAGGTGGGAAAACCAAACTACGGATATTCCTAAAAATAAAAGAAATAAACAGAGTAAAAAAAAGTGCAAAAATTGAAGCAACCACCGAGGTATTGGGTATATACACAACACTAGAAACCGAAAAACTAACACGCAACTTCTCACTAATGGTGACACTGTGTACCAAAAAACTGCACTTCAGTCCCAACTAGCGACATCTGGTGTGCGGAATTATTAGCCCTCATTACTATATTAAAGGAATGTATACTTTAGAATTATTTTCTTAAAGGCTAAAGTATACCCCTTGAGAACTATTACGGCTGATTTTGTTTTGTATTAAAAGTAAAAAGTGTGTGTTATCTAATACTCTAATAAAAATACTTATATTCTTATTCAATTTAATTTATTGAACTTTTTAATTATGGTCTTTTCTGGGACCATACATGCCTAAGCAACTTGTGGGAGAAATCGGTAATATCACAACAATTTATGTTGTAGAAGCGTAGAAGATTTTTTATTTATTTAAGCTCTTAATTCATATTGAGAGTTCAAAAGTGAAGAGACAAATTCTTCAAGCATTCAGAGCAAAGTGTTTTATTAACACATACATTTTTCCATAATGTTAATAGAATTGAATAAGCTCCTTAACATTTTAGTGGGTACTAAGCATTCGTTTCGATGCTCTTCGACTGTGTCGATGTAAATTGTAAAAACGAATGATTTTTTAATGTGATTAATAAAGTTTTTGTCAATTTACTAACTATATTTATTTGAGTTTTTCAGTCCCATATTAATACTTACCGAAAATATGATTTTTTTTGCGTCCTGGATGTGTAATTTTTTAGTTTTTAAGGAAGCACTGTGGTATGTTTACCGTTAGAGCATTCGAATGCTACTAGATTAAAAGCGCACCCAAATGTTCGAGTGGGCGCTCATTCGGTAAGGACATTTTTTGTCACTGATTCTGTATCTAGTTTTTTAATAGTCATCATCATTACAGCCTTTCATAAGTCATAAGGGACATAACTGTGCCAGAATACATTATTAGCAATCTTAAAACTACTTTCAAAACGATATTGTAAATAAAAGCCATTCATTGTAAATGATTTGTCCTTTATTCAGTATAATGCATGAACAAAAACCGGTCCAAATCAGCATGTTTTCGGTAAAATAATCTCGGGCAGTTCACACCTACGATACATGGACTACGCTTTCCGTTTACATTATTATATACTTTGGAATGACATCCTGCTTAACGCTAACGCATTAGGAAAAAAAAACAACTACAAATAAAATCGAGAAAGACTCATCAATAAATAAATTCTGACATAATTACATACACAACTAACCAATTTAATGCACTACGACTCTAGAAATTTCATCTGAGATCTAAGCTTATAATAAAACTTTGGATAAGAATTAAAATAATTATGGATAACCGTCTCGTTTTGTACATTTTTACAAACAAAATAAAAGTCTCTATAGCAGGTAAATACTGAGTTAGATCATAGGAAACTAAATGCGGAATTAAGAAGTTGTGACACTATATGCACCTTAACTAAAGGAAAATTTACATATTATATCGTTATTAATACATCGTAGATTACAAAATAATACTATAAGATAAACAATACACGTTATAGAGAAAATTATTGTACTGCGGTAAACTTCGCTTATCATTTTTTCTTAAAAACCCATACATCTCTATGAAAATAGTCACAATGTCCTCGGTGCTGTTTTGCATGTGTACGATTTGTCTATATATTTGAAAAAATATCCCATTTAATTCAATTATTGGCAACATTATCACAAATAAATATTATCAACCGGTTACAAAGTAGAGTTAGAAACTGTTTTTATCACAAAAGAAATATGGTAGAAATTAAATTAAAAGTTTTAATTTAAATTGGCTTTAGAATAAACAGATATGTCGAACAATAACTCTAAATAGGCAACATGACATATTATGATTTCTTTGAAGCGCAACAATGCCGATGATATGTAGATAGTTATACATAATATATAATTGGGACTTGACACATGCGCGAATAACATAACATACGATCAGTAGTATTTTTGTTGTAAGTATTGCCATATATAAATTCTCTTAGTAAAAATCATAATCCGATTTATCATAGTTAACGTTAGGTTATATATATGTGCATGAAAGTATTATAGTAAATAAAGTCGCATGTGGGAAGTCCCATAACGATGTAGTTCGTCAATTTTATTTAACATATTCGCGTATCTCAAGAAATAATTACACTAATTTAAAAATAGGTATTTTCGTAATACAACAAGTAAACATACCAATTGTATTTTTTGTAAAGAATTGAAAAATGATTAAGAAATAACATGGGTGTAAATAATCACTACTTTTCAGAGATTTATATTTTTGGATATACGCAAACTGCACTTGAACATGGTAATAAACTCGAATGATCCAACAAATCAAAATCGTATATGGTCATTTGATAAAGTTAATGGTTATTTTGGCGCAGGAATTAATATCCGGCATCTATTCGCTACAAGGAATATTGAGCAATCGTTGGATTGTCTTTTAAAAAGCTTTGTATTAGCACTAGAGCTAAAGCGGCATTGTATATACTTCAAAAGGAATTACAAAAAATTAATTATTCTTAAATGCGCGTTACAAAATTACAAGTCTAAGTCTAAAATCTCGTCATAGCCCCATTAGTAAAGCTGTCGGATCTCGCTTCGGAGATAACTGAAACAAAAATTTGCCACTACAAGCGAACTAAACTGTTGAAACGGTAGCATTCATCCCTGATCGGTGTGCCCGATAGCTTGGTCGATCGGGATCATTTTTTTGCTCATGGAATAAATTGGCGGGGTTTCAATTTTGCCCGATATCGCTTGCACGCGACTCTTTACGGACTCCAATGGGGCTAAATCGATTTTGGAGTCGTCGCACGATGTCGAATGCTGAAACGAGCCTCCGACCTCAGTGTTGCCGTATATATGCTGCGGCTCCCTTACGTTCCCATAGAGATTGTAGTTGTGAATTAATGTGGACACTCTGTTGGACGGGGCTGGGAGGCTGTTGTGCTCCTTAGTGAGGTGATCCGTTGGAGTCACTTGTATGGTCGTGACCGGTTGGTTGATTTTAAAGTCTGGTTTTGGTGGTGGCGCGTCTTCTTCTTGAACGGAGGATTGGGTGCTGAGTGATGGGTTCTGTGGCGTGAATGTTTGGCACTGGGCGGCGAAGACCTGGTTTTGTGAGGTAAGGGTTTGATTATGTGGTATGGAGGGTTGGGCTGATGTAGGTTCTGATGGTTTCCCAGGGTCAGGTTCGAGGGCAGCTCGCCAATCAACGTTGGGATGTCGCTCGCGAATACAATCCACTACATCAAGAAGGTTTTTGGCGTCCATCGCTAGTACGTGCGCTGCTGCTAGCATGCTCCTAGAAAGAGAACAAACTTACAGTTAAAAATGTAAAATTCATATTTTTTTGTAAAAACATATTATAACTTAAGAATAACCTGGAAGGCAAAATAAAGATCAATGATGTCATGCCGATATGAACGGGCCTTTAGTTATATTTTGATACCTTAAAATAAAATAAAAAAAATATTGGTAAATCCAATTGTGCATGCCTTAAGCGCATTAAAAACTTACGTATACCATGATAATATGTAAATCTTTAAAGAAGTTTAATTACACACAAGTTTTCACTAATAATCATAAAATTTATTAGATTACTGTACTTCAAATTTTCCGATAGTTTTTAGTCAAATTTCAATTTAAAAAAAGCTTGGAAAATCCAAAAGTGCACGACTCATGATGCTCATGATCGTGAAAAAATTAAAAAAAATTAAATTGTGGTTCTATTCGTCAGAGTTCCAGTAGCAGTCACCGAAGGAACTTTCAGGTCATTCTATCAAGTCCAGAGGTAAGGACTCATCATAACTAATAAAACGAGGCCAAACTCGGCACACCTAGTCCTACTCTTTGAGGAGTTCCAGTAGCATTCACCGAAGTACATTCAGGTCATTATATCAAGTCCGGAGATAAGGTCTCAGCATAACTAACAAAACGAGGCCAAACTCGGCACACTTAGTTCTACTTTTCGAGGAGATCCAGTAGCATTGACCGAAGTACACCTTCAGATTACTCCATAAACTCCAAGACGTATCATCATTATCATCATCATTACAGCCCTTCACAAGTCCACTACTGACCATAGGCCTCCCCCAAGGACAGCCACAAAGCACGGTCACGAGCCACCTGCATCCATTGACTTCCTGCATGTCTTACCAGGTTTTCACTCCATCTAGTGGGGGGACGCCCTACACCTAACGCCTGCCGGTACATATAAGTATATTTATATATAAATCCTACGTACGTTTAGCGGCAAAATATAATAAAAATCTGTGAATATAAAAATAATAACCTTTGTCAAGTATATGTGTCAAATTTGGTTTTTGAGTATTTTGTATTTCTACAGCGATCGATATTTTTACTGCCTATTACCGCTGCTGTAAGCCTGCAAACGATACAGCAATTCACTCACGACGGCGGCCGAGCGCGTACCGCGTAGTAAGGCAGAGCAAAGTGTATTTAGTAAAATAAATTAATACAAGGCTGCTAAAACATCGATAATTTCGAGGTTGCGCAGCCGAAAAAAATTAATTATAACCTAAACAACAGAAAATTAAACTGTCATTTACATTCCATGGCTTCCCGCATGATAGAAGAAGAGATTAAAAAATAGATTGGGTTAAACAATTGATATTTTCAAAAGTTATCGTGTTTACCACTCCATGCGGACTTGATAAATCTACACCATAAGCCACTAAAAACACTTTTTTATGTAAAAATAACAATTAATCGATTTAAAAAAAAATTATTAGTACAACAATCATTTGTCTTTGTGACAATTTACTTTTTATATAATTTATAATATCAATATGATTGTTATATACGATTTTATGCGACAAAACGTTGGAATATTGATTTTTAGGCGCTAGTAGAACCAGAACATACCTACGCGCTTTGCGCTTAAGGCATGCAAAAATACTTCCATATCTATAAAATTAACGCACTAATTGATATTTTGTTTTTGTAACACAGGTTTTAACGGATTATTTTAAAATTTAAAATGTTAGATCAAGTCACATGATTTTACGTGTGAGACACAATAGGCCAGGAGGCCATGACATGATTTTGGCATTGCGATTCTTCTGAAGCTAATCTCGAAAGCCTATCGCGGAAAATTTCCTTGATAAATTATACGTATATTGACTTACTTGGTGTACTCATGCTGCAGCGTAGTGTTGGAGTACTGTATGGCAAGCCGCATGGCTTCTACAAGCGCCGCCATATCTTTACTCAGCACCTGATGCGCCATTTCAACCTCCCTGTTAATATTTGTAACATATCGAATAAATTTTTGACATAAAGCGTTCTAACTTGGCATGGCTGAAGTTAGTCGCGAGTAGCTGCGCAGATATAGTTTTTAGCAATAAAATGGTGCTAGGTAGCGTCTACACGGCAACTAAGAAGTAAATACTTGATTATAGTTAATATCGACTATGATTCGATTTTATTTTATATTAGGTCTTTACCTATGAAATAGCCGTTTTTAAGAAATAAGTTAACTTAATTTTTTTTTCTATATTTTTTGTTTCTATTAATCAAGGTAATCACCCTTGCAATCGATGCCCCTTTGCCAACGCATTGGCAGTTTATTGCCTTTTTGAAGAAATCAGCATTTTATATTGCATCTCGGGCATTGAATTTTTTTCCCGCCATAAAGTTATTTTTTAATTGGTTTAGCCATGCTGCAGCTTTATTATGGTTGTAGCACGAATGTCTCGGCTCGACCGGGGTGAGACCACGCTCTCACAGAATACCAGTGTAAAATAGCAGCTTAATGCTGCTGTGTTTCGTATGGTGAGTGTAGAGAACCGGATATCCTTTTTGCTGGAAACGAGGCACCTCCATTTTAGTCCTCAAGGGTGACAACGTATCTGCATTTTGATTCTTAATAGAGGATAAATGTAGATGTCTATGGGTCACAACATCCACTTACCATAAGATGGACTGTGTGCTCGTTTGTCACCCTTATTCTATAAAATATCCAATTTCTGGAAAACTTAGAAGTCTGTAGGCCCAAAGTCTGGCGTTTATGGCATAACGGAGAGCTTCCAACCACTACGTTACTCTAGTAACTTGGAGACCGTCTGTTGTGCAGTATTACATTGTTGTGCAGGAGCAGCGGGGACGAGCGATTGACCAAAGCTAGTTGAGGAGGTGCGAGCTTCTCCATCATTGTGTTTAGTTTGTCCCAGTAGACATGTGTAGTAATGCTCATCCCTGTATGGTGTACCTCTGCGCGGCGGGCGGGTAGGGCAGCACGAGCAGGTCGACGGTGGCGCAGAGCGCGCGCAGCTCGTGCCCGACGGCGCGCACGCCGGCCAGCAGCGCGTCGGGCGCGGCGCCGCGCGAGCGCGCCAGCCGCATCACCGCGCGCACCACGCGCGTCGTCGCCATGTACACGGGCTCGCCCGCGCCCTACGGCACCACCAATTCTATTTTAATATACTATTTAAAAAAGGCGTAAGAGACTCGATCACCCCATTTGATCCCGTTAGTTTCGAAACAAGCGGCTAAGATGGCGAAAAAAAACTCCTCATAGCTTTCAATAGACAGCGATTTAATTAACCCGTTTACACCAGATGCAAAATCCAATGGAATCGACAGGGCTCAGTTCTTCCCCATTTAAAAACACATTGGTATTTAGATTTTTAAATTATACATTAAGTTTTATTGCACTTTAAATGATATTAAGTATTTGTAATATAAATGAATTGCTTAGTAAAAAACAATTTCGCTCGACGTTCAACGCCGAAGTTGGGCTTATTAAAAAAATTTGTCGTGCATGGGAAAATTCAGATGATACTTTGGATATATTTTGTGACTTTTCCAAGGCCTTTGACTGCGTTCACCATGAAACATTAATCAGAAAGCTACAGGCACTATGCTGTCCAAAAACATAGCATTTAAACTTACTATTTCATACTTATCAATAGAACCATATATTAATAATAATAATCAATGGAAAAAGCTCTTCCGGATGACCTGTACCTATCCTCAGGGCTCAATTCTCGGCCCACTTCTATTTCTAGCCTATATTAATGACATATCTTACCTAGTAAAGGATAGTCATGATATAGTATTATTTGCTGATGATACTTCATTGTTTTTAAACTTAAACGGCAATCATTTCAAAATTAAGTGAATAATGCTATATCAAAATTTGCGTATTGGTTTAATGTTAATAATCTATATTTAATATAGATTATATAAAGTAAACGTAAAATATACTTTTGTTTAGGCCAAACAATTAACATTTGAAATTTGCATTCAACACTCGTGTCCTCCCTCTGACTTTGTAAAGGTCACCGTCGCCCCACTCCCGTGTGGGTCGCTCGGCAGGGGGCGCGAGTGCCGGACGCGAGAGCGAAGACAGTAGCTTGACAGCAGCAGTACGGTCGTTTAGCGTATCTTGGTGACCGCTGCATCGATTTCGCGCGAAGAGTTTTTTGGGTTTTGTGGTCTAGAATTTGAGTCTTTGTGCGCGTTTAATTTACTATTGAATTTGGGTTTCGTGTAGACCGTCTCGAATTAGTTTGTCTAAGTTGTACGTTTCGCGACAAGAGGCTAGTATTGAATTTCAGTGATTAAAGTAATTTCGTTTGTAAGTAATTACGTCAATTTGTATAGTGATTGCATTTTGAAGTGCATTTTGCAATATTTAACTTGCTTGTGTGACGTGGAACACGCCGAGTGGACATACGGTCTGGAATTTGATGCTCGCATTCCATTTCGAGGGCGTGGCCCGGTTATTTGTTTTTGGAAGTCATTGTTTAATTATCCCGTCGCGTTAAGAGCCTTTTGTATGTTGACTCTGTAGTTAGTTTGCGTGTCAGCTAGGCTGATTTTGAATTCTTATTGCAGCGTAGTATTTAATATCGTACGAAGGAATTTAGTTTGTTGTTTGAGAACGCTGAACTTCGAGACTCGAGAAGAGGCTGCGTTCGATCCCGTGTTTGTAAATTTGTGCTACGTGAACCCGGAACCTTGAATATCAAACTTTGAGCGACTGTTCGTTATTTGTGTCTGGTGTCACGTGTTTGATTTCAATGAACGTTGAATTGGTTGACTTTGAAGTTAATTATATGTACAATAAAGTTGATGGATTGAAATAGTGAAATGAAGAAAGAAGTTGTCAATTGGTGACGTCCGCTGGAGTGATACCACATTGTGGGGCAGCATCGGACCAGGCCGCTGCCCGATCACCTCAGTTGGGTCAGGTCACATATATAAACACTACTATACACCACTTACATGCACCTACATCTACCTATCGCCTGACCGAGCCTTGGGGCAGTCTTAGCTTCGGAACCAGGTACGTACTATTCATTTACCTAGGCTTATATCTATTGTGTCGAATAATAAGTCTCCATAGGCCGTTGGGCCCCACCCTTAGTTGTCCGTCGAATCTACCGCTGATGTGCCCCGGTATATTTGACCTTTGTTGGGGCAGCTAGGGGCGTGTACAACTTTATTGTACACCAAGGAACATATTACAGTATTTATATATATAAAGGGACATTGGTCCAACAGGCGGCCTTATCGCTAAAACAGCGATCTCTTCCAGGCAACTTTAGGGCAGAGGATACTATTTTAAAAGATAGCGGAAGGGGTGTACAGAATATAATATAGAATGATAAATAGAAGAACATAAGTGATTAAAGGAAAAAAAAGTGAATGACGACAGGTAGTAACTTAAGAGGAAAGGTAATAGAGTTTTAATTTATTTTTAAATATATGAAGAGATTTAGATTCTTTAATATATAAGGGGAGAGAATTCCATAGTCGTATAGCGGTAACCATAAAATAATTAGAATAGAAGGAAGAGGAATATCTAGGAGAAGGAGATTATTTTGAGATCGTAGAGGTAAAGAGTGTAAACTACTTAAATATATAAATTGGTCTTTCAAATAAGAAGGAGTGGTCGGATTGAACAGAATGCAGTAAAGAAGATGAAGAATGTGAGCATTCCTGCGAAGGCGAATCGGTAACCACTTGAGCTTATGGCGGAATTCGGACATGTGGTCATACTATCGTAACCCAAATATAAACCTTATGCAATAATTTTAAAGCCGCTCAAGTTTATTAAGTTGCTCGACTGTTAGGTCAAGATAACAAGTGTCCGCGTAGTTAAAGATCGGTAAAAGAAGAGACTGAGCCAGCGCAACTTTAGTAGGAATGGGGAGAACATTGCGTTATCTTCGAAGTGAACCAATTGCGGCAAACATTCTTCTACCTATTTCACTCACTTGCGGTCCCCAAGACAAAGTCTGATCGAACATAATACCTATATTCTTAACCTTGTCACTGTATGGGATAAGTGTCCCTTCGAATATGACTGGCGGGAGCAGCGACAAAGTTAACCGAGAGATTAATTTCGAACTCCCAATAATAATGGCTGAGTCTTCAATGGATTAACTTTAAGCCCAAATGAATTACACCAATGAGAAATAAGAATAAGATCTTCATTAATTATTCTAATTATATTGGGGAGATCCGCAATCTTACATTGGGAGTAGATTTGTAAATCGTCTGCATATAGGTGGTAAAGAGAAGTTATGTGGGAACAGATCGAATTGATGAAAATAGAGAACAATAGAGTAGACAACACGCTACCTTGTGGGACGCCAGCTTTGAAAGCAGACCAGTCAGAAAACGTGTCTTGAATTTGTACACGTTGCCGGCGCCCTTGCAAGTAACTATGAAACCAACCAATTACTTTAGGAGATATGTTAAGAGAACTTAGGACAGCGAGTAAAACATCAAAGTCTACAGTATTGAAGGCGTTACTAAAGTCAAACAATGTCAATACTGTAAGGGAGTTGATATAGCAGAAAGTTGAGCAAGTGTATTTTTCTTCGTAGCACTGTCTATAGTGGCGCTAGAGAGGAAATGAGCATTAAGCTTATTTAAATTCAAATTAAGAGATTCTACATTACGCTTTGCTTTTCCAACCCGTAAAGATTTGAGTAAGTTCCAAACTTTAGTTGAGTTATCTTCCTCAACAACAGATTTATAGATATGGCGTCGTTGACTATCTCTACACACCATATTGTAGCGATTTCGTGTCCTGTTATATTTCTCTCGGTTGGAATCATTAGGATTTTTTTCTTGGAGTTTTATTATGTCGGCAGTGAGCCAGGGGGCAGGAAGATGCTTCATTCGAACTGGACGAATTGGAGCGTGAATGTCATACAGTTGTGTAAGTATGCTGTTAAAAGTTAGCTGTTAGATATCTGTTCATCAACCGAACCAGCATTCGCAACTACTGACCAGTCAACCTTAGTTATTTTCTCGTAACTTATATAATATAATAATAATAATGTAATAATGTAAAGAACAAGTTTTTACATTTCGCCTTACCAATGAAACACCACCAAGTTCCTAATTCCGGGCTGCTACTAAGAGTTACTTGACAAAAACCTCAGCGGTCGCGTTTACGACCACTAGATCAAAGTGGCCGTCAATTTAATTTTTGAAAAGTAAACGATTTCTACGATTTTAGAACCAACGACCTCCATTGGCCAGTTCAGTCTGTGCTGGACGGCCCCACGGGGGCCAAAGACCCACGAATATACTCGTATTTACTAGAATTTTATATTTTACTAGCTCTCCACCCCGGGGTTTCGCCCACATTAAATCAAAATTTCCTAATAGTAAATGTCGACCATCGCCCATAAACAACTGCAACACCAGGGCAATTGCAGGTGCGTTGCTGGCCTTTATAAAAGGAGTAAGCTCGTTTCTTGAAAGTCTCTAAGTAGTATCGGTCCGCAAGCATTGCCGGTAGGAGATGATTCCAGAAAATAAAATAAAAACTCTTATAAATCGTACAGTTATGGTGGACCGCCAAGCATCTAGATGGTATGGATGGTACCACGAGTTTTGTCCCGATGTGCTTTGGTGGAGTTTGGCGACTGGAATTAATTCGAACAATTTGTCTAAGTACTCCCCGTAGAAAATACGATAAAAAATGGAATAGGATGTAACATGTCTTTGCAGCACCGTTGAATAGGGCTGATCAGAAAGAACTCGGTCATCGACGATTGGAACTACTCTTCACTGGATACGGTCAAGTGGAAGGAGATGACATTGGGGTGCCCTGGTCCAGCGATGAGATCAGTACTCTCACTATGTGAGGGTGAGTTTGCGCCTTGTAAAGTTACAAACGGTGCGCCGGTATCAAATACTGTCCCACTCTGATGAGGACGCCAAGATTTTTAGGGGCCAATTTAGCCTTCCCTTTCACGTGACCGCGGAACTGTACGTCATTCGATATGTCGATGCCGAGGATTACGATGCTGGCTGAGGCAGTGCCCTGAAATTGAAGAGATACGACAATTTTTAGCGATTAACGCGCAAACCTGTGTTTTCTGAAGTTTAAACTGGACTAGAGTCGTCCCCAATCCGAGATTTTGTTTATTAAAGACTTGACTTCAGACACAAGTTTGTTCCGATACTCGATGATGTGTTACAAACAGTAACAGCAACATATAATACATATATAGAAGGAACAACGTAGGTGACAGCACGCAGCCTTGTGCACTACTATTAATAGGCTCCTAGTGGGAGTATGCACTATCTACTACAACCTTGATGCTCCGACCTGATGAGAACTGATGATCCAATTGCACAATTTCTAGGGAAGCCCACAGGAAGGAAGCTTCAAAAGAAGCGATTTGTGCCAAAGCCCATCGAAGGCCTTCGCCATGTCCAAAGTAACGATCAAGGCTTCCCTCTTGGACTCGACTGCTTCCGCTCATCTATGAGTCAGGAAAATTAGAAGATCAGAACTAGAACCAGCTGATTACCTATTGAGTGTATTGGCGGTCACTAATCAGCCGGTGGTTCTCAAGGTACCTTACCAAGGTAGCTCATAAGCTGGCAGTTTATAATGGATTCTATTTTATTATTCCATTATATTCAGGATTCCATTATTATGGAACAAGTAGGCGATGGTGATAAGCCCGTAGAGGGACGGGTCTGAGCGGTCGCTTTTTTTAGGGATCGCGTGCACTAAAGCTGTCTTCCATGAGTTCAGGACTACACCTATGGAGTAGGACTACCAGAAAAGATGCTTTAGAACGGGTACTAACTCTGTTACAAAAAATAAGTAAAACAACAAATTTATTTTAAATTATAGTCCAAGAAATTGACCGGATGGAATTTTCCCCTTAATAACGCGAGTTTAAATGCTTTTAAGAAAATATACTAAATTAGAATTATGTTTTTTCGTTGGTAACATTACAAAGTCGCTTTTGCTAGCGTCACCATAAAAATAAAATTTGAATGAACAATCGTTATATTATCTATAGTATAAATGAAATGTAAATATGCTGTGTAGTGGCGGCTTAAAATAATGCACTACCTTGAGGCATAACGTGAGTTTTATAAGGGGCAATGTAGGAAAATGAAAGAAGTTGAAGAGAGAGACAGCAGCATCTTTATAATAACAATTCAAAATTATAAAAACTACGGTAACCAAACCGGCTGTGTTCAGCAGTGGACTTTAGATAAGCTGTAATGAATGAATGAATGAATAAATGAATGAATAAAAAAAAAGGTTACTCATCTATGTACTTACTTTTTCTTCGCTTGGTTTTTCGTTAGATTTGACAGTATTCGCCGGGCTTGTCTCTGAGGAATTTGCACCTAGAACAAAAGTAAGACTTGTTTATTTCATAATTGAAAATAAATAACGTGCGATAAGCTAACACAGTCAAAAAAAAAATGAACGTAACGGACACTGTGAACATACAAATATGCAAAAATGTATGGGATTAATCAGTCCTCTATGGCGAAGGAAATTAAACATTTTTTTAGGAAGCTTCAGCCATTTTTTTTTAACCATGGCACTATGTTACCATCTTTACAGTAAAACTGTTGTTAGGGGACGTCACGAAGTAATTTTTCTAGAACTTATCATATACATACTCTGTCATACACATCTCATAACAAATATATGTAGTGTTCTGTCTATCTTACTTTGATGGTAAAAGTACATCATTAGAAATTTAAAATAATGTACAGTCAGACTCTAACGTACTTTAAGTTAAATACTCTAACGTATGTACGAGAAAATAAGACATATTTTTGTTTATTTAACTAATACTATAATATGATAATAATTTTGATCTCACCTGAGTGGGGTTGACTAGTCCAAGTTTCATGACCACTTGTACTCTGAGGTTCCATCGATTTCTGTTCCGTGCTCTGCTCACATTCTGTCGCCACTTGAACGTTTGATAGCCGTTTCTAAAGAAACAAATTGGTTATAAAGAAGCTATTGTGAAAAAAAATTGAGGAATTTATCATTAATTTATTTGGGATGTAGAAACTAGACAGATATATAGATAACACCTTATTGTACCCCGAAAAAAGAACATAAATATTAACAAAAAGGAGAGAAAAAATTGTTTTACAATGTACAACCTTATCCCTAAGATCTCTTCCACACAAACTTTGGATGGACAGGCTAGCAAGAAAACAATAAAAAAATGTGTGTGGTTTGGCGACAAAAATAACATTATTTTATTATAAACCATAAAACAGGTATATAGGTATAGGTATATAGGTACATAGGTAAGACATATACATATATTATAAATATTTATAAATATAAGTACAAATACATATAAATATATAAACAAATAGTGTAAATAAAGGTAGAATAATTAAATACAAATGAATTTGATAGAATCAAAATTGAAAATAGTAATCATGTAAGTAGGTACATGTTTCTTAAAAGCCGGTAGGGATTAAGCGCGTCTTGCGGATAACGGCAAGTCACTCCATGATCGGACAGCTTGTACTCGTATTGTGAATGATCTGTCCAAAACTTTGCTAGTGTGAGCTGGCATTTTTAATATCAAATTATCTGATGATCTCAAATGTGGGTCATGGAGGAATTCAAACCAATTTTTTAAGGTAAGAAGGATAGAAATGATTAAGAGTATTATAAAGAAGCGAGACAATATGAGCATTCCGGCGAAGGCGAATTGGCAACCACTTGAGCCTGTTACGAAAATCTGACACATGATCAAATTTACGCCACGCCAACCAAACATGATATGCCGTGTAGTGGTGGTTAAGAATATCCACTACCCCATATCTTCCCGTGGGTGTCGTAAGAGGCGACAAAGGGAAACAGGCAGGAGATGAGCAGCAGCATCTTCCTGATAACAGCAAAAGTACAATAAAAAAAAACTCCCGCTCGCCAAGCGTGGCAACTATGGCAAATACCCCCCAATGATTAGAGCAGCAAAGAGACGGCCCCCAGTCCCCGGCGGCCCCGCTATTTCTGACTACGGTGGCGACCATGGTAACGGCGGGGCAGGGGGTGCTAAGAATCTCCGGTGGAGGTTCGGTTGCCATCTAAGACGACTCGACCTAGCAACATACAACGCATGCACTCTGAGGACTAACGAGAAGATCGTGGAGCTGGAAGAAGAGATAGACAAGTTACGCTGGCATATTATAGGATTATCCGAGGTCCGAAGAGAGGGGGAGGACACGGTAATCCTCAAATCCGGCAACTTGCTCTATCACCGGGAAGGCGACCATCTGTCCCAAGGAGGTGTCGAATTTATCGTCCACAAGTCTCTCGTTAACAACGTTGTTAAGATTAGGAGTGTGTCGACGAGGGTTGCGTACCTTATACTCAGAATCACCAAACGGTATTCGCTGAAGGTCATACAGGTTTACGCACCAACCTCGGCACATCCCGATGAGGAGGTGGAGGAAATGTATGAGGATATCTCTAGAGCCATGCATTCCTCCAAAACCCATTATACGGTGTTAATGGGAGACTTCAATGCAAAACTAGGCGCACGAGAGAACGGTGAGCTGAAAGTAGGGAAATTCGGAATAGTGCAACGGAACCCAAGGGGCCAGCAGCTGGCCGACTTCATGGAGAAAGAGGGCCTCTTTATGATGAATTCTTTCTTCCGGAAGCGGCCCCACAGGAAGTGGACCTGGTCGAGCCCCGACGGTCCGAAAAAAATGAGATTGGCTTCATTATGACGACCAGACGACAACTGTTCAGTAATGTCTCCGTGATCGCGAGGGTGAAAACTGGTAGCGATTACCGAATGGTTAGAGGCACACTGAACCTAAACGTTAAGTTGGAGAGGTCTCGTCTAATGAAGTCAACGCTCCGTCCCCCTCGTGCTCCAATCCAAAGTCCAGAAACCTTTCATCTCGAGTTACAAAACCGTTTTCAGTGCCTAGAAGACTGCAATGAAGTGGACGATATGAATGACAAGCTCGTGGAAACTGTCCATGCGGTCGGAGCTAAGTTCTGCAAGACCCGCCGCAGAAGAACACTAAAGCTCTCCGATCACACTCTTAATCTCATGGCTGTTAGACGGGAGATGAAGCTACATTCTTCAACAGATTTGACAGCATACAGGCAACTGAACAGACAGATCTCCAAATGCATTCGGCGGGACTTGCGCAACTTCAATACAGCTTGTATTGAAGAAGCGATCGAGCGGAACCAAGGCTCCAAAGTCTTTGCCAGAGATCTGTCTGCCAAAAAGAGCCAACTGTCAAGGCTGAAGACCGAGTGTGGCAGCATCGTTTCCGGGACACCTGAGATTTTGAGTGAGATTGAGAGGTTCTATGGGCAGCTGTACACGTCATCGTTGGAGCCACACGCAAATGTGAGTAACGACTAACGATACAAGAGCGAGTCTTATCCGTCACTATTCCGAAGATATCCCGGACGTCAGTCTGAGCGAGATTAGAAAGGCTCTCCAGCACCTTAAAAACGGCAAGTCCCCGGGCGAGGATGGAATTACAGCGGAGCTTTTGAAAGCGGGTTGAAAACCGGTACTTGACGTCCTTCAGAAGCTCTTTAATTCCGTCCTCCATGGTGGCACTACTCCGGAGGCATGGAGCAGAAGTGCGGTGGTCTTATTCTTCAAGAAACAGGAGAAGAGGAACAATTTATATTTTTGATGGAAGCTATGTATCGATTGCGTATTACGGAACGGCGGCGGCAAGTTGTTCCAACACGTGGTAGCTGCATATCGAAAACTGCCTCGAAACGCATTGTTGAGCGGTGTTGGGGCAAAAGAAACCCGTACGCCGAAGCTCTTGTCACTACATTTGTTAAGACGTTGTCTCGAGCCCAGCGCAATTTTTCATAGAGATAAGACGGTGCCCTGTATTTGATACAACCAAACAACAACGTAGCAAAATGCAACTGCCAGCGGTAATCCATTTTAAGCATTTTCGCATTATTAATGTAAGGTGTAACATGTGCACGGGGAGGTATTTTAAAACAGAAATGGGCACAGGCATTTTGTACGCGCTGTATAAGTTTCTTCGAACGGTTGAGAAGTCTAGGACCTATTACTGCATCTGCATAATTGAATTTGGACAGTATCAAGGACTCACATAATCTGATACGGACTTCCGTCTTTAATACATCCCTTATCTGGTATAGCACTTTTAATCTGTAAAAGCAATTTTTAACGTTATTTATTATATGTTTTTCTGAGTGTAGTGCCTCATCCATCAATATTCCTAAATTTCTAATCTCAGTAACTCGATCAATATTTACATTTTTAATTGAAATTAAAGGACGATTTGCCAAAACTTTATTTATTTGTTTTTTTTTGTACCAAGTAGCATATATTTCGTTTTATTAGGATTAAGTACTAATGTACTTGCTTCAGACCAGTCGACTATACGATTTAAGTCTTCATGTAATTTTTGTATGGCTACAGTACTCTCATTTCGCTTGAAAGAAATATACACTTGTATATCATCAGCATATATATGATAGCTACAGTTTAATATATGTTTTACGATATCAGCACTATACAGCGAAAAAATCAAGGGACCAAGTATTGAACCCTGCGGAACACCTCTTGTAACAGCACAGCAATCAGATGCTATTTTTTTTGCCGTTTTCATCTGTTACTTCGACAATTTGCCTACGGTCATTAAAATAGCTACGAAACCAATCTATAGTTTCAGAGCTTAATTCATAGTAGTTTAATTTAGAGAAAAACAACTGCCTATTTAACGTGTCAAATGCACGGGAATAGTCAAGAAGAACTAGAGTTGTAACCATACCGGAATCCCGAGCACTTAAAACATTATCCACTACATCGGCCAAAGCTGTTGTAGTGCTATGTCGTTTCCTAAAGCCAGACTGTACACTCGGTAGAATTTCATTTTCATCTAAATAATGAGTTAACTGATTACATACAGCTTTCTCTAGGATTTTAGACAAACAGGGCAATACGCTAATAGGTCGCAGGTCTTTAAAATTCGTAATATTATCTGTCTTAGGAATCGGCTTTATTAAAGCAGTTTGCCACTGTTTGGGAAATGTCTTAGCTCTCAGAGAACTATTCATAATTACCGTAATAACATTCAAAGAGTATGGGAGAGTGGATAACAGCATTTCCAGTGAAATTTCTTCCAACCCAATGGCATTCGACTTCAGATCATGTAGAATTTTTAAAACTGTATTACTATCTATTTCATTAAATTCAAAAGTTTTAGAGCTAAATTTATGGGTTTCGAAGTAGTTGATAGCGGATTGAGAAGCAATATTTTGGCCTGGAACGTTAAGGAAATGTTTATTAATCTTTTTTGGGTCATTAGCAGAAATAGATAAATGGATGATACCCATGCCGATGAACTGCTAGGTAACTTAGGAGCCCTGCCATCTATGGCTAAAGCAGTACCATAACCTTGTACAACAGACTTCAATATAAGTTATACAATATAAGTAATTACTTAAAGACTATAGGTCAGACCTTGATCAGATTTATATGGGACTACATGAGAAGCACCAGCTTTCAAATCAAAAAAGAATCATAGAAATCGGTTCACCTAGAAAAAGGTTATGAGGTAACACACATAAAAACACAGTAGAATTGAGTACCCCCTCCTGTTTTGAAGTCTGCAGAAAATGGTAGCCAGTTGTCTACTTTACAGTATCTCACGTTGGTATTGTGTGCGAGCGTGTCGTCCTAGTCTAGCCGACACATTTGTGTTTAAAATATTCTTAAGATTTTTTGTTATACAATATGGATGACAAATGAGCACACAGTCCCAGGTGGACTGTGTGTACGTTTGTCTGCGTGGATGGCAAGTGGCACAAAGACATCTATAACTAATCTCGATTAAGAATCAAAATGCAGATGCGTTGTCAACCGTTAAGGACTAAGATGGAATGCCTCGTTTCCAGTAAAAAGGATTTCCGGTTCTCTTTAATCACCATACGAAACACAGCAGCATTAAGCTGTTATTTTATGCTAGTATTCTGTGAGAGCGTGGTCCTATCCCGGTCGAGCCGACCCATTCGTGCTACAATTAATATAGCTGGATCTACCAGGTGAAAGATGAAAAATATGTGTTAACATACCAAATTATCCTCTTGCATTTGAAGCCACCTACTATCTTCTTCGCTCTGATGCTGCTGTCGAGCCAATTCAGCCAACAACCTCTTCTCTACCGCTTGCTCCGTATCGAATTCTGGACTCTGTATAAATAGGAATAAAGCTTGATATTCTATAGTAATCGCAAGTAAAAGCTATTAAGAACTAACCTTGAAATTAAGTGTTACTAAACATATTACAGTTAAAAGGATTTTTTGTACAAAAGATTAATTTAGTAAACGTTTGTTATATAATATTATACCAATCTATCACCGAAATGAATATTTTAATAGTTGTATGTTATCAACAAAGTTAGTTCCTTTATGTATAGTTTTAATAGAAATCACACGTGAAATTGAAGCTTTTTATATGAAAACATTTCAAATTTATTGCAAGAAAATAAAAAATAAATAAAAAAACGAAGCTCAACTAATTGTATCGAGACATCACTATTACGATATTGTGCGGATGGTGACGAAATCGATATTGAAATGATAGAAAACAAAAATACGTTTCATAATAACCGTAATTCACGTTATAAAAAGCAAATATATTTTATATTTATTGGTCACTATTATTGATTAATGATACATTAAAAATATGTACATTAATTAACTATACTAAGAAGTAATATATAAAATAATGACCATTAAATACTTCCTAACAGTGGAAGGCTGGTCACATAATATTATATATGTATATGTTACAGTCAAAATTCACAACTTCTCAAAATCACTTTTGACTGTAAAAATCAAACAAAAGTAGTTTTGACTAAGGACGTTGGTAAATACCACTTTTTTATTTTTGCAGTCAAAAGTGGTTTTGACCGGTTATAAGTTTTGACTGTGACATCTATAATATAAAAATGAATCGCTGAATGTGTTGCTAAGCGCAAATTTTGAGAGCAGCTAAACCGATTTCGCTAATTCTTTTTTTATAATATTCTTTGAAGTACGAAGATGGTTCTTACGGAGAGAAAAATTTAAAAAATTGCCTGAAAAAGTCTAAAAACAACACTTTTCTATATTCCCATACAAAAGATTCGTAATAATACTTAAAAGTCAATTTGAACTTTAATACCATACCATAAAGTTTAAGTCTTAGTGGAGGGGTTCCGGGAAGGCAAAACAATTGAGTGACGTTATTATCGTATATATATTAATGTCAATATTTATACACACTGGCAGTTAGCTGATGTTATAAGAAGTAACTTGGGCTGCTTTTATATTAGGTTTCTGCGAAAAATAGCTCCACGCGGGCGAAGTCGCGTGGAACAGCTAGTATATAATATGTGTAGAAGTGACAACTATTGGATTAGACGTGTCATATAAGTTGACCCCGAGACCGCGCTTAGGTAAACGTAATGTGGGATGCTTTCTGGTTAGATGCAGCAACAAACTACGCAAGGCGGTTAGCTGGCCCAAGATCAGGCTAAGTGACACGCTTTGGGTACGGCCTATGTCCAGCAGTGAACAGCCATAGGCCGATGATGATAAAGTTCAATTTTGTTCAACTAAACACTTGGTCGATAAATTAAATCTGAGTGAAAAGATCATGTACACCTGATCGATCCTTAATTTCAGACAAATCATACGTAATCTTTAATTCCTAATAAAACATTTAAATATAAATTATGTATAGTAATAGATATCGATATTGTGCACGTCTCGAACATTTAATTTTCACGTATGACTTCGCAAAGAAAAAGTGAGATAACAAAAAAAAATAAACGAAAATTCTACCGGAGAAACCCAACGGACACACACTCTGCAAAAAAAGAAGAATAGATTCATTTACAAGAAACAATGAAATACAATAAACAATTTTTTTACTTCAATGTCACCATGGATAGGTATTATATAAATTGTACAGGTTTTAATTGGATATTTTGTATATTTATATATACATATTTGTATATTAGTTTAATTTTTGTATATTACAAGACATAAATATCTTTAAATAATAATGGATAAGGGTTCGATGTAGTAAACGAAACACTTTTTATTTAATACGGCACAAAAATAACCAACATTTGGCGGAAATTTATCGGCATGCATTCAAATAATTTCGATCTACACACAAAACTACTATAATCATACAAAAATCTACAAAAATTAAATTTTGGAAAATTAAAATTCACCAATTGCATGCGTGCCGGTGCAATACATAATCTTGCTGTGAACTCAAAATCACCTGAGTGGGTTGAGTTGTTTGTGCTGTTGTCTGTACTACGGGGGAGCATTCTTGACGCGATGCGTATATACTTTGGGCATCCATTGACGACGCTGAAGCGAATTGTGGACGAATCTGATTAGGGAAGCTGGTAGTGGACGCGACCTGGCTTGCGGTTTGCGAGGAAGACACCTGAGGCTTGTATATCATGGGTTGAGCTCCTTGGATTACGTTCGAACTGTAAATTTGCTGAGGAGCGTACGACATAGGCGGCACAACTCCCATTGGTTGATTGAAGCCTGGAGGCATTTGGGCGGGATACACTTGTGACAGAGGGCTCGCAGATCTAAAGTGGCTCGACTTTGAAATGTGTCCGTGACCCTTGCTGGGCACGTGACCGTACTGTATACCTTGAACTATTCCCACGGGAACTCCATACGAAGTTGGGTGGGAAGCGGCCATGCCGGCTGCAACAGGGCGATAGGCAGGCTTCATTGCTTTTTGAGCAGCGATGGCTACGCAGCTTTTGACATTATCACCTCCAAAATCATATATCTCCTCTACTAATGGAGGGTCCGGCTGCTGTCGCATTTTATTCATAACACTGGCCGCTAATTGAGCGTTAAGTGACCCTTGAACAGAAAACTGCCCTACATCTTGATCTCTGCGAGTCCTCGGAGGCGGAGATGCCGGTACGGAATGCTGCCTCGTGAAAGGTGCGATAGGGACAGGAGAGCCTCGATGAGAGAGACTCCCTCTAGCGTTTCTTTCGAGCGAACCCATTCTTATAGGAGCACGTTCAGTCGACAAGGAACCTCTTGTATTGCGTTCTAACGATCTAACTCGGCTTGGATACGTATCGTTCGATGCATCCGTCTCGCTCTGACACGGAGAAGAAACGTCAGTCCGAGGCGAGACGGAGGTATTCTGGCACAGGTTGTCGCAACTCTCCCGTGCGCCGACTACAACGGTTAAAGTTTCATCGGCACTTTCGGGGACGATAGGGTCCAGTTTGTGGAGGCTCGCGGCCGGGATGGGTGCGGTTTGGAGGGGGATGTCGATCTTTTCGTCGGGTTTGGGGTTGATGATTTTCGGTAGGTCGTTCTCCGGTAGAGTTTGCGCGAAGTCGACGGCGACGGTGTTGAATACCGATGCTGGTGTGTTGTAGGCCTGTGGGTCGATGGCGCGGGTTTGATTCTCTCTCAGTAAGTGGGCCAAAACGAGCGGGTTTTGCGCCACGATGTACGTCTGTGGGGCTGCGCCGGCTGCTTGCATCGACGTCGCATCTAGTGCTGTTGACAACAGAATTAATTATAATTTACATATTTTAGTTATATTAGTTATAATTTTTTATGTAGGCTTTAAGAAAGAATATATGCTTACATGAGTATATATAACAAAATAAATTATTAAAAAAATATTACATCCAAAGGATAATTTTTTACGTAATAAAAATATTTCCTCCTTGCGAGGATCGAACCAGCGGCGCCATAGCCGATCGCTTAGCTATCAAATAAAACATGGCAGGATTGTTCTGCTATTTGAAACTGTTATTATAAGCGCACGTGGTGACACTCCAGTCAAGTAGCCCATTAATACTTCCGTTCAAATTAATATGTAGCCGGCTCGGTAGCGCAATGGCTAAACCACTGTTTGTAACGCTGCGGGTCGCGAGTTCAATCCCGAAAAAAGTATTTTCGCCACAAATTTGTTCTGGATATTGATTTTTTTTATAGAATTAGGGTGACAAATGGTAAGTGGATGCTGTGGCCCTAAGACATGTACATTTACCCTCGACTAAGAATCAAAATGCAGATGCCTTGTAACCTTTGAGGTTTAAGATGGAATGCCTCGTATCCAGTAAAAAGGGTCTCCGGTTCTCTACACTCACCATACGAAACAGCAGCATTAAGCTAGTATTTTCCGTTGATATTCTGTGAGAGCGTGGTCCTACCCCGGTCGAGCCGACCCATTCGTGCTATAACTATAATGCAGCTGCAGTGTGGCTCTACCACGTATAAATACAACGTATAAAAAACTTGATGTTTGTCCTTGTGCAATTTATGAATGTAGAATGCCTCCACGATACAGGAGAAGGTCCTAATGTGCGGGTAACTTTTTTTTTAATAATCTCTACAGTATGACTTTACTTGGCTTTGTCACAGACATGTCACTTACGGAAGCATCATAATGCATATTCAGCGAAATATATTACTACAAGTGCAGATAATGAATGTTATTACACATGGCGGTCATTAAGCCAGTATCATCATAACAACAATATATCGTTATAATATTAAAAATAACGATATTATATTAATAACAACGTTATGTTATTTTATTTGGATTTTTTGAGTTATTGGAAAAAATTTAATTAGTATATTAAAATCAATTGAACTATACAGGGTTATTTTTCAAAGAGTAATTAAGTTCAAATATATAAATAATGATATACCGTTATTATAGTTTTTGAAAAAATGAGTAAATAAGGCTTCCACTTTTACTTAAAATTATTCCAAATTGAATGTGATTTATTGGCGACAACAACGCGTACGCAACTGCGCGTTGTGAATTGAATCGGTCGTCTGTGAGCGATTCAATTCACAACGTTTTTGCCGACCGATCTCCTCCTGCAGGATCTCACTGGACGACACGCGCACACTGTACTGTTCTGACCTGGCGCCAGGTTGGCGGGCGGGCGCTCGGGCTTGGGCGGCGGCTCGTCGCCCCAGGAGGCGGCGGCCACGCGCCGGTTCTCGCGCCGCATCGTGTCCCACGCGCTGCTGCGCTCCTCCTGCAGGATCTCACTGGACGACACGCGCACACTGTACTGTTCTGACCTGGCGCCAGGTTGGCGGGCGGGCGCTCGGGCTTGGGCGGCGGCTCGTCGCCCCAGGAGGCGGCGGCCACGCGCCGGTTCTCGCGCCGCATCGTGTCCCACGCGCTGCTGCGCTCCTCCTGCAGGATCTCACTGGACGACACGCGCACACTGTACTGTTCTGACCTGGCGCCAGGTTGGCGGGCGGGCGCTCGGGCTTGGGCGGCGGCTCGTCGCCCCAGAAGGCGGCGGCCACGCGCCGGTTCTCGCGCCGCATCGTGTCCCACGCGCTGCTGCGCTCCTCCTGCAGGATCTCACTGGACGACACGCGCACACTGTACTGTTCTGACCTGGCGCCAGGTTGGCGGGCGGGCGCTCGGGCTTGGGCGGCGGCTCGTCGCCCCAGGAGGCGGCGGCCACGCGCCGGTTCTCGCGCCGCATCGTGTCCCACGCGCTGCTGCGCTCCTCCTGCAGGATCTCACTGGACGACACGCGCACACTGTACTGTTCTGACCTGGCGCCAGGTTGGCGGGCGGGCGCTCGGGCTTGGGCGGCGGCTCGTCGCCCCAGAAGGCGGCGGCCACGCGCCGGTTCTCGCGCCGCATCGTGTCCCACGCGCTGCTGCGCTCCTCCTGCAGGATCTCACTGGACGACACGCGCACACTGTACTGTTCTGACCTGGCGCCAGGTTGGCGGGCGGGCGCTCGGGCTTGGGCGGCGGCTCGTCGCCCCAGGAGGCGGCGGCCACGCGCCGGTTCTCGCGCCGCATCGTGTCCCACGCGCTGCTGCGCTCCTCCTGCAGGATCTCACTGGACGACACGCGCACACTGTACTGTTCTGACCTGGCGCCAGGTTGGCGGGCGGGCGCTCGGGCTTGGGCGGCGGCTCGTCGCCCCAGGAGGCGGCGGCCACGCGCCGGTTCTCGCGCCGCATCGTGTCCCACGCGCTGCTGCGCTCCTCCTGCAGGATCTCACTGGACGACACACGCACACTTAATATATTATACAAGCTGTAACACCCTATTTCACCCCCTCAGGGGTTGAATTTTCCAAAATCCTTATTTAGTTGGGTGTTTATGTCCAGAAAGGAGTATATATGTCAAATTTTAAGTTAATCTAGCGTATAATTTTGAAAATCTCCTCATGAGTAAGTCAGTGACATTTACCTTATATATAGATTAAAAACTAGTTCGGCTTCGCCTGGATGGGATCTATAAGGTAATGAAAGACCATTTATTTTACTTAAATTTTTTTGGTTCTCTAAATAGGTTCATCATCATCATTACGTGGTGCGTCTTTCCTAGTGTAGTGCTGGGATGGGGGATTTTTTTTAGTGTCAATACTTGGTGACTCAATATAACTATAAACATAAAGCTTCAGCTAGATCGGTTCATTAACCCCTTTGATATATCACAGGAAAAACAAGTCAATCCGGAAGTGAACACTAGCAATGGAGAAAATTAAGTTTCTTGCCGTGATTAAGTTCGTCACTAAGCAAGGAAAAACGCCACATATCATTATGCAAGAGATGTCATCTGTTTGCGGGCACTCTTGTACTGGAAAAACGAGTGGCATAGCCTTTGCAAGCAGGCAGCGACTCAATTGAAGATGATCGGCGCTCAGACCAACCGATTGAGATGACGTCCTTAGACATTGACGAAAAAGTTGAAAAAATTGTTCTTGAAGATGCTCGTCTGAAGTAAAAACAGATCGCAGAAATGACTGGAATATAATTTAAGACCACAAAAAACATTCTGCATAACCATCTTGGCATCTCTAAGGTCAGTTGTAGCATGGGTGCCAAGAATGCTACATATAATACAACGCGTCAGAAACAGCAGCGGTTCGAGTTTTTGGACATATGAACAGTGGCGAAATTATGAACCGAATTGTGACTGGAGATGACACTTGGCGTCATCACTAGGAACCTGAGTCAAAACACGAGTCCATGCAGTGAAATGAAAAAGGCGCATCGCCGCCTAACAAGTTCAGGGTGTCACAATCGGCTGGAAAGATTATGGCTTCAGTTTTATGGGATACAGAGAGGGTTTTATTGATCGATTATAAAGATAAAGGTGTCAATATCGCGGGATAGTATTACGCTATGCACCTAAAAAAGGTTCGATTAAAGAAGAAAGAAAGGGAAAGTGGTCTCGAGGTGTGCTTATTTTGCACGATAACGCACCCTTTCAAAAGAGTCAAGTTGCGATGGCTCCCTTACACAAGTACGGCTTCGACACTTTAAACTATCCCCTATAATCTTATTTGGCCCCTTCGGATTATTATTTGTTATCAAATATGAAAAAAGAGTTTCGGAGAAAGAAATTTACAGATACAGATAACATTTTTTTCGAAGGTTTAAATAAGTTACTCGAATGGTCTGAGAAGTGTATTCGGGTTATTTCTTTTATAGGATAAGTGTGAAAAGCGAGCACACAGTCCACCTGATGGTAAGCAGTTGCTGTGGCCCATAGATATATACATTTATCCTTGTTTGCGAATCAATTGTCAGCCGTGAGGACTATGATGGAATGCCTCTTTTCAAGGTATCAGGTTCTCTTAAAATTCGTATTAATAGAGAATATAACGAAAAGTAAAAATAATATCATGTTTAAATTCACCGCCTTTCCCTTTAATTTCGGGATATTTTGACCTTCCCTCGAATATCAATATAGATACATAATTTACAATATTTTTTTATATAATTGAAATAACAAACGAATTTACAGTTCACCTGATGGTAAGTGGTTACTGCAGCACAAAGACACCTGCAACGAACTTTCATCAAAGAAGGCTGCAGATGCGTTGTCATTTCTAAGGACTAAGATGGAATACTTCGTTAACTCGTTAACTTTAAGAAAAGTATCTGGTTCTCTACATACATACGAAACACAGCTGCATTAAGCTGCTATTTTACGCTGGTATTCTGTAAAGCGTGGTCCTTCCCCGGTCGACCCATTTGTGACCCACAACCATAATATAGATGCAGCGTGGCTCTTCTACGTAAAATTAATACTACTACACCCCGTGGACATCTGTAACGAACTTCCAACAAAGAAATCTACACATGTGTTGTCATCTCCGAGGGCTAAGGTAAAATGCCTCTATAAAAGAAATGTACTTTTACAGGTAAAGTAAAGAGAGTCTCCGGTTATAGGCAATCACGGACGAAAAACAGCATTCTTCGGGAACGTTTCCATTTGTGCTAAAAGTATAATACAGCTGCAGCGTGGCTTGGTCGCATGTAATGTTGGGCAGTATGTAGATGCAGGCAGGCGCACTCACAAGAGCGTCTCCTTGAGGCAGTGCGCGGTGGGGCGCTGCGAGGGCTCGTAGGCCCAGCAGCGCGACATGACGGAGTACAGGCGCGGCGGGCAGCGCGCCGGCAGCGCCAGCCGCTCGCCGTTCTCCAGCTTGCCGATCACGTCGTTGTTCTTCACGCCGCTGAACGGCTTCACGCCCAGCATCAGGATCTCCCACATGCACACGCCTGCACATACAACTCACGATAAGCGACAGTCGCCACTAGCTTAAGGATACGGACCGCGAAACTTAAAAGTTGTGGTAACGAATCCGTCATTTGTCTACTGTCGTGAACCACTCCTGGTGCAAGAATTTAAAGCTCAGATAAAGTGTTAAAAAGCAATTTTGGTAGTATCAACAGCACTGCTAGTTTTAATATTAAACAAAAAAAGAGAATCATCGATTCCTTTTTCTACTCTTGGGTAAGGGGCATTTTAATATGTAACGGATGGGTGAGAATGCAATCCCTAGTTTCAAAAATCACTGAAGGGCTCCCAGATCGAGTAGAGGGCCGAGGCAGGTGCCGTTAGTTCGGGGGAACAATAGAGTTTTCAGTTGTCACCATGCCGTGGTTAGGCGAACATCAAGGATTTGTAATGGAGACGTTCTTTAAAAACGGGGAAAGCGTTGTGGCTACGCGGAGAGCTTTTCGGATCCGGTTCGAGTTAAACCGTAATGATAGTGTTCCTGATCCTAAAACTATTTGACAATGGATTAGTAATGTAAGGGCGACAGAATCTGCAGTCCCTAAAAACCAGTTGGGCGACTTAAAAGTGTACAAACAGCTGAAAACATCGAAGCAATAAAACGTCAATTGAAGTCTCCAACCCGATCTGCGCTAAAACATCGTCCTGTATGGCGAAGCTTACACTCAGACCTTCATCTGCACCGCTACAAGAATTAAGGAATTGAATCCACAAGATTTTGTGAAATGTAGAAATGCTTACAATGCAATCCTAACTGCTTTACCATTAAGTGCTGTTTTGTGGACTAGCGACGAAGCGCATTTTCATCTTTATGGCACAGTGAACAAACAAAATTTTCGTTATTGGGCATTTCAAAACTTTTCGTGACTTGCATCAAATACCTCTTCACAGCCCAGTTGCGTTACGTTACAGTAACAGCGATGCGTCCTCTATAGGCATTATTGGGCCTTAGTTTTTGAATCCAAATGATCAATCGTTACTGTGACTTCGGCTCGCTATTGTGAGATGTTGGAGAGCTATCCGCAACCAAAAATGGAAGAGTATGGCAAGGAACATGACACAGAAGCATTCTGGTTTCAACAAGATGGAGCCACGGCCCATATTGCCCGTCGTTCACGCGAACGGGGATTGCAGGGGATATTCCATGGCCCTCTCGCTCCACCGATTTGACGCCGTGTGACTTTTTCTGTGGAGATACGTCAAAGCTGAGGTATACAAACTTCGACCTCGCACCCTTAAGTAATAAGTTAATTAAACGCGATAAAATCCGTTAAAGTAGTTTTATTCAATGTGAAATGTTCCCGTAAATATAAGAAATCATTATGTGATTGAGGACGTTATCGCTGGAATACCTCAAGATGTATTGCTCGCCAAGGCTGCCACTTAGACGATACGATTTTCAAAAATAATAAAAAAAACGGTATCATGTGTACTTTTGATGGTTCAAAAACCTTTTTTTAAGTATCTTAAAACGTTTTTTTTTTCAATTCACCCTTCAAATTAGGGACTGCATTCTGCCCCACCCTGACAACTTATGTACATTATATTATCATAATATCCACTTGCATCTTTCTTCAGACTCCTTTTATTAAAGGCTGTATAACCACCTAGAAAATTGGATATAGATACCACTAGGTAATCATCAGCAGCATAAGCTAAAGCCAAAGTTAAAATATCAAATACTGCAATCACCACAACCAAGTAAATCCCCTCCAAATAAAGGATAATAACGATAAGTAGAGACTTATAGGCTGTGTTGAATCCATGAAAATATACAATATGTAAAAAAAAACCTGTCTGAAAAACTACATGGCAATAATAATAAACGCCGCGGACGACAGTGTTGCCAGACTTGAAAAAATTGCTGAATTTTAAGCAAATTGTAATTAAAGACGTGTATTTTGTATAAATATACTCATATACATATTTTTTACATATTGATATGAGGCAATCTATGGGAGAAGCCCATGTTTAGCAATAGGCTTTTGACAGGCTGTAATGAATGAACGAATGAATTAAAGTTTACGTCATTCAATTAGAATTTATAAACTCAAAGTTGTCTAGCATGCCACTAATGCACTTGTGTTATCAAAATTAAATCATATCTTAATCACAAGATTCTAGAACAAATAGACCTTTTCTTAAAGTATTATATAACTACATAAACTGCTATACTAAAAGCTTAGCTACTTAACGTAACAAACATACCAAACATCCAAACATCTGAGGCAGATGTAAACCGCCTAAAGTTGATTGACTCGGGCGCCATCCACTTGATGGGCAACTTGCCGCGGGACGCTTTGTAGTACGACTTGTCGTCCACTCGTTTCGATAGACCGAAATCTGCCAACTGGAGTCAAGTTTTATTAAAAAATTATTACATTATTTCAACATAATACATAAACTTTTAAGATTGTCACACTGAAGGGTAGACAGAGATTACGGGCTTACATTTGACACGAATTTAACACACCTCTCTCGATTCTATGACATATATTATTTTTTTTTCATAGAATAAGGGTGAAAAACGATCAAACAGTTCACTGATGATAAGTGGATGCTGTGGTACATATACATCTACATCTATTTTCGATTAAGAATCAAAATGCAGATGCGCAATCACCCTTATGGGCCTAAATGGACTGGCTCGCTAAGAGTAAAAAATCATATCCGGTTTTCTACACTCACTATACGAAACACAGTACCAAGAAGCTACTGTTTTACGCTGGTATACTGTGAAAGCGTGGTCCTTCCCCGGTCCAGACAATCCATTCACAGCATTACTCTACTACGTTGAAATCTACCATCTCAATATACTGCCAAATTGATCCAACTTCCGTCTAGAGCGTCTCTTTCCGACTCTGCTACTCACTTCTGCAGCATACATTTGCTTTGGCACTCTTTCTTCATAAATTCTTTCTACATGTTCCAGTCGTAAGTGGCTACATGCAGTCCATAGACACATGTGCCTCAACTTCAACTTCAAACTCATAAGGCTACAGATGAGGACCAAGATATAATGCCCCACAGCCTGTAATTTTACTGGGTCTGTCCCCTCAGACCTGAACACAGTAATGGAGGCACTGCTATTTGCCGCCACAGATAGGTAAGAGGTAAGTAGGTAGGAAAGGAGTCCTGCCACCCAAACATTTCCAATCTATCGTTCAGAGTCAGACCCCTAACATATTTCATAATGACCGCATTCATATTTTCTACAGACTTCAAAATGGAGGTACCCGATTCGACTGTATGTTCTTTTTTTAGAATTAGGGTGACAAACGAGCACACAGTAAACCTGATGGTAAGTGATTGCTGTGGCCCATAGACATATACATCTATCTTCGTTTGCGAATTGAAATGCATATGCGTTGTCAGCCGTGAGGACTAAGATAGCATGCCTCTTTTCCAGTAAAATAGGTCTTCGGTTCTCTACACTCACCATACGAAACGCAGCAGCATTAAGCTGCAATTTTACGTTGGTATTCAAATTTTTATTTTATGTATGTTACCTCACAACTTTTTTCTGTGTGTTACCTCATAACTTTTTTCTGGGTGAACCGATTTCGATGATTCATTTTTTTATTTAAAAGGTGACGCTTCTCATGTGGTCCCATATAAATTTGATCGAGGTTTGTACAGTAGTTTTTGAATTATCCCTAATGATTTATATTGAAGTCGGTTGTACATTTTTTTTTATTTTTAAATTTTATTACCTTAACCCGATACAATAAGCTAAGTACTATAGGGCACTAAAGGACCATGCAGTCGTATTAGCTAAGCAGATAAGAATTCACTCTTAAAGGACACAGTAAATGAACAAACTGTGTTCGATCCTCACTAGCAGCGATGAAATTGTAAATTGCGATTGTTACAACTTATCATTTGGTCGGCGTCGCAAGAATGATAAGGATTTTTAGATTCTCTAAAGCCACTTATCTTAAGGCTTTTCATAATCATTATCATAATTACAGTCTATTAAAAGTCAACTGCTGAACAGGCACAGATTATAGAGATCCATTTATGATGTCAATCTATCAAGCAATACGTGTCGTGTCTACGTTCGCCAAGCAGAGGACAAACCGGTTTACTGCATCCGCACAGACGATGACTTTAATCGTGTTTTTCAGTCAAATATTGTTTGCATTAGCAGCTCTGCATAGGGTAAACGATATAAGTCTAAATATATTGATTATAAGAAAATTATTACTACTAAGATTTGTTATAACCATATTTTTAATTATTCATAATGTTATGTATACAAACATTTACAGCTGTTATGGCTATGATGGTGCGATGGTAAGGGCCGAGTTTCTAATTACTAATTTCATGTTTACTTATAATTATTTACAATTAAAACCATTAATTCGTGTTCAAACAGTTATATATCTCAGTTATTTTAAGGGAAAATGTTTAAGTTATAATAATAATAATAATTCTACTCTATTGATGATTAATTACATTATATATATTTTTAAAACATTGAGCTTCATAAAAAGTATATTAGCGTATCATAATCTTAAGAGCACTCTTCGTAGGTATCTTTTCTCACTTCGTTGCTGCACAAGTATAGTATTTTTGACTATTATCTCATTCATTCAATTCTAAACATAATCTTAAGTTAGGCTTACTTAATGTGGGATCGCTTGGCACAGGACATGACGAATTTCTCGTAGCTATGGATCGTTATTCTGTCGACATAATAGCGATTAATGAAACCTGGTTGCGAGAGGGCGAAGAGGGGCGCTCGCCTGCGGTGCCCGGTTATAGATTACGTCACGTTCCTCGCCCTTCCGACGTGCGCTCGCGCGGAGGTGGAGTGGGCTTCTACATACGTCAGGGCATTGCAGTCCGCACACTACCGCACCCCCCAGCCCCACTCGTAGAGCAAATGTGGCTTGCACTAACAATTAACGGTACAAAATTAATAATTGGTACTACCTACAGACCGCCGTGGTTGAGTGTTGACATTTTTTTCGATGCTTTATCGGAAACTATCGGAACATTATCATGGTGTAATAATGTAGTTTTATTAGGCGATTTCAATATAAATTTATTAAATGATATGGATAATAACTGTAAGAAGTTGAAAATTTTTTTACAATGTTATAAATTAAATCAGTGTGTTACTGAGCCTACCCACTTCATGGAATACAGTGAAACTTTAATAGACCTAGTATGTACAGACATCCAACAATCATTCACTTCTGTGAATCATATACCGGAACTAAGCGGTCATGCATTTATTTGCTGCGAATTAAATATAAAAAAAACCGAAACCAAAACCAATTATTATATCGCGTAGAAATTTGCATGCGATTGATAATGAACAGTTCCTATTAGATTTAAAGTCTTTAAATTGGACAAGTTTCAAAACATTGGATCGCGTCAATGACATGGTATCATTGTTTAATACTATGTTAAAAACATTATTTAACACTCATGCGCCCGTACGTAGAAAATCATTAAAACACTTCCAATATCCTTGGATTACTTATAATATAAAAAAAATGATGAAAGTCAGAGATGAAGCAGGTGTTGTCGCACGTAAGTCAGGTGGTACAGCAGCCCAAAAATTACTTTATAAAGAGCTCAAACACTATGTTCTTTTCTCTTATTAATGCACAAGCATTAATAAGAGAAAAGAAAGCTTACTACAATTTTTTTATAAATAATCAAAAAGATACTCGCATCGTATGGTCACATATAAAAAAAACGTTAGGTTAAAAACTAAGCCGGACCTGCCTCACCATATTTTCAACGACCCCGATTCGATTAATACAAGCTTTTTAAATGTGCCAGGAAATAATCAAGTTCCTATTTCATATATGACATTCTTTAAATCACACGTCAAAGTCTCAAATGTATTCAAACTGAAGACAATTGAGGAAAGTGATATTGTGAAAATAACACAGTCATTAAAGTCAAATGCGGTGGGTGCAGACGGTATTTCCTTGGATATGTTAAAAATGTCTTTTCCCGTCACAATACCTGTTATTACGGAGATAATTAATAAATCAATTACAACGCAAACATATCCCTCAGAATGGCAGCACGCACTCATCAGACCTATACCCAAAAACTCAAATCCTATTACCATGAAGGACATACGCCCGATTAGTATACTCCCCTGTGTATCAAAAATCCTGGAGAAAGTCGTGGCTGAGCAGGTAAGAATATACTTAGAAACTAACGATGTGCTTCCCAGTTTTCAGTCAGGGTTTAGAAAACACCACAGTACGTCAACCGCTATGATAAATGTTGTCGACGATATACTATCAGATATAGACAGTAGCAAAGGAACGATTTTAGCCTTGCTAGACTTTTCCAGAGCATTCGACTGTCTTCATGTGCCATTGCTTTTGTCTAAATTACATTACTACGGTTTCGACATATCTGCGATAAAATGGTTCGAAAGTTATTTCGAGCATCGTATACAGCAAGTAGAAATATCAGACGAAAATGGGTTACCAGTCATTTCGAACGCTCAGGCTGTCAAACAAGGCGTTCCGCAGGGATCTATCCTAGGACCTATTTTGTTTGCCGTGTATTGTGCGGATATAACAAATTGTATTAAGCATTGCAAATACCATATGTACGCGGATGATACACAGATATATATACCTTGTAAACCGGGGGAGACTAAATTAGCGGTGGAAAAATTAAATGACGATCTCGAAAGAATTGCAGCTTGGTCAGATTCGAACGCATTAGTCCTTAATGGAAGCAAGTCTAAATATATGATTCTAGGTACGGCTCAGCAAATACAAAAAATAGCAAAACATGACGCTAAAGTAACCATAAGGAGCGAACGAATTGAACGCGTGACTGAGGCTCGTAATTTGGGTTTGTTGATAGATGACAAGTTACGCTTTGAAAGTCACATAATAAACACTGCAAGAACATGTTTTTATAGGTTAAAAGTATTATATCAAATTAGAAATTGCCTAAATACCGATATGCGGATAAGACTGTGCGATTCTTTGATTCTGTCTAAATTTAATTATATGGATATAGTGTATGGCCCTCGTCTGCTTGTGCATAGCAAGAAACTTGTCCAGAGGGTGCAGAATGCTTGTGCGAGATTTTGTTTTAAGATACCTCCACGCGCTCACGTCACGCCGTACATAAACGAGCACAATATTTTAAAAATGCAGTATAGGCGAGAACACCACCTAGCCACATTTCTATTTGGATTAATTAAATATAATGTACCACCTTATCTCTATCACAAATTAGTGTGGTCTCGCGACGTACAATCAAAGATCACTCGCGCGTCATGTTACTCTTTGGTTGTACCCTACCATCGTACCATCGCCTTTCGTGGAAGTTTCAAATATTCTGCCTCTAAAT